TCCTGTGTCTTTGTGGGCTCAATTCCACGAGAGGGCTATGGGCTCTGCTGGCAGAATTCTACTGAAGTCAGTGGAGTTACACCAGCAAAGAATCTGGCCTGGGATCTTCACAAATAGTAATATGTTCCATGAACTGTTCCATGTCTGTCAACAATGGTGGAGCCTGAAATGGGTCTTTGTGAGCTTATCTCTTCTAAGGGTGAAACTCTGCCCCATTGAAGTCAATGGAAGTTTTGCCTTGGACTGCAAATCTTGCTTCGCTGAAATCGAAGAATTCAGTTAGGGCCAATCAATGACCAATGGATGGCACTATCAAGACTTCCATTGACATCTGTGGACATCGGCCGAGTCCTTAATGGTTAGAGCCTTTTATATGGGTTTTCAAGATTGCCTCCTTTAAAGAAAGTGGTCTTTTTCTATCAGTAACAGGTTGGCTTTTTCTTCAATTCTGCTGATGAAAGCAAATTGAGTCTTCCAAATGTCTTCCTTTTCCAAACGTGTATTGCTAATTGCTACTATTGCTTCTGCTTTTAAATATGGTGCAATTTCCTTGTTTTTGTCCCAGCCTACCAGGTATATCTCAACTGATGGATGTGTTGTGAAGTGCTTACCTCTTGGTGCTCTACAGTCTGTAATTCTGTTACGTTGTCACGGGTTATTTGGTAGTGGGGGGGAGGCTAGAATAGGTGACCTCTGCAGCATGCTGCTATGTTCACCTTGCCATGAATAGTCTTGCAGGGGACAATTCTTTCCTTTTACTGGTTTTGTTGTGTGTTAGGCAAAGGATGGAGATTATTTTGTTAAACTGACATTTTCCTATATCTTTATTGAATTAGTATGGAAAACTGTATATGTTCCATATCCCATTTTTGTTCTGTAAGGTGGTGTGGTCCAGATCTGGATGACTGTGTTGATCTAGGTCAGTGGTCTCCAAAGTGGGGTGCGCGCACCCCAGGGGGTGCACCGGAGGATCCCAGGGGGTGCGTGGCAGAAGGAGCGCCGCTGGACAGCACTCTGCCGTTTTTTTTTTTCTTCGGCGGCAGCTCTGCACGCCTGCAGCAGGTCTTCCCATCTTCTTTCTTTGGTGGCACCATGTGGGTGCGTGATCCAAAAACTTTGGAGACCACTGATCTAGGTGATAGTGTGGTATCGACTTGTCAAATATTCAGCCAGCATTAGCAGTGGCTGTTGAAATGGGATTTGTCCGCCAAATTTGCAGATTAAAGCTTCTAATTTGGCTCAGTTTCTCTTTTCGTATGCAGAGCACCATAGAATAAATGGAATCCACTTAGCCTGCAGTGTGTGGTATCGTTAATCTCGGCACATACCAATGTTGAGGAAGAAGACATGCGACACTCAGAAACAGGATGTACACTGTGAAAGGAGATCTGAGACTGGAGTGCCCTGTAGATAATCTATAGGTGACAAATGTCTGTAAACAGCTAACTGGCAACAGTCTTCTTCTGGCACCATTTATCTCAATGGCTTGTATTAGGCTTCTTTAAGAAGCCCATTGGCATAGCTGAAAAGCGCAGCATACACAAGAAGGCAGCTCCTCTAGTAGCCAACTTTCCAAAAGGAGCAGTGGTTTCATGCATAACTAGGCTAATAAGAGCTTCATTTTCACACAAGTCTTCCCCCAAACTGGTTTATTTAAAAGAAAAATAAAAATCCCAGAAGAAAGCAGGCTCCTCTGTAAAGAAAAGGTAAAATAACTTGAAGGTAATAGCTTACAGTACTTTAGAGTCTAGCCTTATAACACTTATGCGCGTGAGTAATCCTTATTCCTGCAAGTTCTCCTATTTGTAGTCTGTTGGACTACTTCCCTGAGTAAGAATTGAGCCCTTAAGCCTTCTTTACACAGGTGGTTATTTGTACACCCTTGTTCAAACCCTTGAATAAACTGGTAATTTGAGTTCTGAGCAGATTAGCCTGGAGGGCGGGGTGGAGGTAATTCAGTTGTGCATACACAATACAAATTATAACACACGGCAAACAGTCAAGTCGCAAAAGGCACAGGAGCAATTAAAAGCTCTCCAGCATAATCCAGGACCATAGAGGATTTAAACGTACTTTAGCATGGCATTTAAGATTACAAATATATTCCCTTCAAGTCACAACAGTTTATTAACCCTCTAAGCATAAAAATGCTTCAGAGAAAGTTAGGTGTTTGGCCTCTCCCCCTTTTTTTTTTTTTTTTGGTCCTGGGATTTTGAGCTGGTGTGTGGGGCATACCAATTATGTCTGCTCAGTGCCATTGGTTACAGAGAGAGATAGCAGGGCTAATTGGAGGAAAGTTAATAGCTGATTTTTGGACCAGATCCTCAGCTAGTATACATGGGCACAGCTCCATTGAACTTGAGACAGAAGCTACTGCAGTGGAGGTTGCAGCCAGCCTGGAAGGATGGCCCTAAGGAAGGAGGAGTGTGACAGTAGACATATCAGATAGCCGCCTCCATGTTGGTCACGCTCTACTTAACTTGTGGGGTTTCTGTGGACCTGGAAACAGACTATTCCAATTTGACCTCTTTGGATTTCTCTGCACAACAAACCTTCCTCGTGTTGATCTTTCTAGGAGGTTCTCCTTCAGAGATTTTCCTATCAAGGTAATTAGATGTAAAAGATGCTTTTGAACATCTAGTACGTTCCCTTTATCAATGCAGGGATGGGCCTTGTTGTTACTGAATAGGGGAACATTACAACATATTGTCACCCTTCTCCCATAGCAGATTTGGGAGGAGAGAGGACTACTTCCAATATAGAAAAGTATTTTAATGAGAGAGAGAGAGAACAAATGAGACCTAGGACATCTATGGTAAGAAATGTTATGGAAGCGGTATATGTTACAGAATGCAGTGTTCCTGCCTGATAACATACAGTTGATGTCAGTTGATCTTATTCCTGTTTATTGTGCCTCTAGATACTAGTAAACAAATTACACACTATTGCCCTTATCTTAAAATACTGTGGTGAATAACTGCAGGTTTTCCTGTTTCAGGCCTGAGTCCACAGCAACAGAGGTGTAGTAATATGCAGAGCAAACATCAAGAAATGCTTTGGCTAAAATCATAAAGGTGACAGTTTTGCTTAGCTCCTATGCAAATAATTTCTGTTTACTTCTGCATGGCTGGTCCCAATGGCTTGGCAGCATTGAAGTCAGCTACCTAAACAGCAGGTGGAGATTTCTCACAATTTAAAAACAAAACAACTTTTCCACAGTAAACGCTTCAGGTAGTTTGGGGTTTTTTTTAAACCTGTTTTCCAAAAAGAGGGTGTTGGCAGTTTGTGGTGGGCTTTAACTTCCTTTTTTGACCTCCTATACCATAATGAAATAATTTACTAAAATACAACCTCCAGAGGGTAAAACAGGACACTTTAACTAGTAGATGCTTTGTTTATATATGTAGGTAATTTTTTGTTCGTAGTTTATTAGGTTGCTGAGTAAACGTGAGTCATTGCTGGAGAGATTCTCAAGTAATTTTGGCCGAAATTTCAGGTTTTGTTAAAAATTAAATAAAAGTTTTGACAAAATAAAGAGTAACAAATATTTCATGGTGCATTTTATTTGAACTTAAACATGTCCTGGAAATGTTGGTTAAACTCATCATTGTGATAGTGCATGAGAACCAGTAGGGGAAAGTGACTGGAAACAAACATGAAATTGCTCTGTGCAGTTTCATACCAAGCTGCTGATTAAATGTACATTTCATGCAGAAATGGTGAATTTTTTTGAAGTATTTCTGTTTTAATCCTCTAAAGTGCTACTGGTAACACAGGTAAGAAAATATGATGTTGGTCAGACAAAAACAGTATTGGCAATCCCAAATATACATAAAACTTGAGTCAGCCCTCTTTCTCCCCCCTTCCCCTCCAAATTATGAGATTGAGTGTGGTTTTTTTAGGACAGGGAATTTTAAAAACAATACCTTTTTGAGTTCATTTTATGGCTTTTGAACCTTTACGTTTCTTTTTTTTTTTTTTCTTCTCCCCAGGTTTTTCTTTCTAACCATGAGGGCTAGAAATCTTTTTTTTTTCCTTTTAAATGACAGCTGAGTTGCTCCCATTAGCACCTGACTTCAAAAGCTGAGGCTTTAAGAAATGACAAATATCACAAAATTCATGATCAAATCGCAAGGGTTGGCAACACTGGGAAAAGTGCTCTTGTTCCATGTGGTTCTGTGAGCTGCCTGTTTAAATATAAAGCACGTTAAAGGACTAGAGTAGAAATCACCATATTCCATGGATAGACAGGTTTTTGTTTTTTTCATGTGTGCAAAGCAGGTGATTCTGTGCTGGAGGTAATATCCACCGAGCATCTTTCATCACTACCTGGAGACCACCTTTAACTTCCCTTACTGCTGCTTCATAGTGACCTTCCATTTGAAAGAACCTGGAGGTAACTCCCTCTACAGGTGATCAGGGACCTCTTTACCCTCAAATTGGCTAGAGCGTGGGGCACACTGTAACAGAGCAATATGTGATCTGCTCTCCCTCTCCACTTCTGTGCTCAGTGCCTGCTGGACCACAGAATGATTTAAGAATCCTACTGTTTGAATAGCAAATACAAATGCAGTGTAAGGAGACCTGCACACACATTACTAAATGAGCAGCATTAAGGTTCTTTTTGTAGATTAACCAGTGATAACAGTTAGCACTTACAAACCATTTTTTGGATCTCTTAAGTGTCTGACATTCACCTCCTTCTACAGGTGGGGAAATGGAGGTGATGTGAATTAATACCTTGCCTGTGTTTCTTACCTGTTTGTTTTAGAAGCAGTTTGCTAGGGAAGCTGTTTACCAGTTCCCATGAAGCTGACTAAAATAAGCTTGTGTCATGGTTAGGCTGATACCGTATCGAGAGCTGTCAGAGATGGGAAGAAAGACAGAACAGCTTGCTATGGGACTTGTGCTTAAGAACAAATAAACACCCCGAATGTACACATTCAGTCACCATATGTCATGTTTATCTATAAAGGCATCTCTGTGCTATTTCTTTGCAGGGACAATTGAACTGCTCTTGAGATGACTTCTATACTGAGGAGGACATATGCCAGAAGTTCTGGTGATTGATGTCTAATGTCGGAGTCGGTCCTTCATCCCTTCTGAGGCAGCTAAAGCCAGTGGGAAGCTCTCATCTCTATATTTGGATATTTGATTGACTGTGTGTGAGGCAAAGGAAGGAACATAACTGTGGAGAGAGGTTTTGCGGGTTTTTTTTTTCCCTTGGCACAAGCAGGCATTCTGTATAGAAAACCATGCCAGAGAACTGCTTAGTGCCTTGAAGTACGAGTCAAAATCTTAATGCAACTTCCCTCCAAGCCATGCTTTCAAGCTCTAATGCTGTTTGGCAAACTGAGCCCCTCTGCTCAGGGAGCTGCTGATGGCACCCTCACAATCGGCTCTCAAATAGGTTCTGGTCTGTCGGTGCTCCAGTTGGCTTGAGATCATTACAGAAAAGATGCTGGACCTAAGCTTTCTGACAGAAGAGGAGTATGAGAAGCTTATGAAGGTTCTGCAGAGAGATGCAGAGTTGAAGAAAAAAGACAGTGATCGTATCAGGTAAGAGAGCTTGAGAGCACACAAATGCTGATCTGTGAGGGTCATCAGCCTAGGATCTCCCCACCACCCCACTTCCCAGCAGTGTGCATGTGTGAGGACTGTAGGCTACAGTGGTTCTTTTTTCCCCCGTTCACTGTCAGAGCCTGAAGAATCCTTCTATTTCCCCTCTTGCCTTTTCTACCACGCTGCTGTGGCCACCAGAAGAGCTGGGCACAACTGTTTCTGATTCCAACAATAACTCTCACATGCTTGGAGTCATGTTTGAGTGATGGGAGTGAAAATACAGGAGCAGCAATTGAAGTGAGTCTTCCCCCTTGGAGTGTAGATGTTTCCTAGGATTTATTTAAATGGAAGTTTAAATCTCTATCTTGTTCACTTACAAGGCTTTTCCATGATGCTTCTCACTGTGGTACCTGAGTGCCAATGCACATTAATGACCACATCCTCCCAGCAGCCCTGTGAGGGAGGGCAATATACGATCTCTATTGTATAGATGGGGAGCTGAGGCAGAGAGGCTAAGTGATTTGTCCAAGGCTACACACAGAGCTGTGGCAGAACCAGGAAGAGACACCAGATCTGCAATGCCCTAACCAGAACACCATCCTTCTGCTGTTTTGATTTTTCATTTGCATTCTGGCTGGTTTGTTAGTTGTTGCTGCTGCCACTTCTAAAATACCAGCCATTAAGCTATTCTGACTGGCAATAAGCACAAGGCTTAAAAATTTGGGGCAACCAGCCTGTCTCTATGAAAGTCAATGGAATTATGCCAGTTTACACTAGTGATATGACCTTTTGATATTTTGCTGAGTCAGAAAAGCCTGTGCCCATCATGAGGGCAAGACATACCGTCTAGGATGATGGGTGGGTAGCACTTCTACAGCAGCCTCTGAGGAGCCTTTGTATGTCCTGCCCTCCAGCTAGAGGAAATTTGCTCCAGAGACCAGATAGTGGTGGGGTGGGAATGTCAGAAAGCATGACTGGAGTCCAGTCTAATCTTTTTCTAGCATAGCAATCTTGGATAGGGTTGTGATTTTTGTTTTCACTGTGATTCTATACTGGCAGAAGCTCTAGTGTAGAGGCTGTTATACCAGCCTAGCATCATTTGTGCAGGGAACCAGTGTAAGCAATACCAAATGCAATTTTTTTCTGGCATAAGCTGCATCTGCATGAGGAGAGTTGAAGGGAATATACTAACAAACCTTTTCTAGTGTAGACTAGGATTTAGACAGAAAGAACATGTGACTGCAAAAGCCACGGTTGGCACTAATCCAAATTATGGTTTTAATATCATGATTGCCCTCCTAAAATGCAAAATAAATTGGCCATGTTGTTTAGTTTGTGGTATTCTTTCTTTCTTTGCTAAAATTTGGCAACGTTTCCATTTGCAGTGGTGGTGGGGTTTTTTTTAATGCACATTTAAACTCCCAGTGCATAAGGTCTTAGTTTGGAAAGGTTTCAGAGTAACAGCCATGTTAGACTGTTTCCACGGTATGCATCCGATGAAGTGAGCTGTAGCTCACGAAAGCTCATGCTCAAATAAATTGGTTAGTCTCTAAGGTGCCACAAGTACTCCTTTAGTTTGGAAAGAGTAACAGATTTTTAACTGTGGTGATATTCGTGGGCCCTACTCTAATACAATTGACCTGGTTCAGTGCTTTTCTGTAGGGGATGTCCGTGGTTGATTTCACTGTCTGACCTGCTTTTGAGCAAAACTCTGGTGGTAGTTGGGAGAAGCTGAGTAAAGTCAGAGGCGATACGGTGGATTTCCACTACTGTCAGTGAATTCAGAATACATCTCCTAGTTTTTATGTACTATTACTTCTCTACTAGTCGTTGGTCCAAAATTTTCTCCATTGTACGTATCAAAGTGGGGGAGAAAAGGAATGGAAATTAGGCCACAAAATGCCCTAGATCCTAAGTGGGGGAGCGGTGGATTTAATATTGTGTGTTCTCCCAAGCATGCTACTCCATGTGTTCTGGGATCCACAGGCTTTCAGGGGACATATTAGCATTGAGTCCAGAGGATTCCACTCTCAATGGACTCTGCTTTATACTACAGGGTGGAGTGAGAGGCCAGCTAACTAAATGCAGGGCAAGGCCCTTCAGAGGGGTGATCTGGGCTGTTCTCTGAGTTTGTGGCCCTTGTCCCTCTCCTCCTACCTGATGGGAATTTTGGATGTGAGCTCCCAACTCTTCGAGTTTGGATAAAGCATTACCCTTCCCTGGATTTGTTGCAGGAAAAGTAGCAATGTAGGAGAACCCAGGTATACCCCTAGTGCTGGGGAACTCTGCTAGCTGTGCTGATGGTTAGGGGATAATAGGGAGTCTGTAATATTGACAGAAGCACTAAATTCTAATGACATTTTGTTAGGAAGCAACGTACTGCAGCAAGTAGGGTCTGCACCCTCTACCCACCACACCTGCTCTGAAACAAGAGGTCAAATTTGACCCTTCATATCTTTGTATCGGTATCCTCTGGGTTTTTAACACCCCCCATTGTTGGTAATTTGATCTTGGTGGCTCTTTTTCCTCTGGCACCCTCAGCAATCTCCATAGGGTTGGAAAACCTTTTCCTTGAATTGTATTGAATACCGGGAGGTAGAGCCAGCTAACTCGGCAAAGTTTCTGTCCTGTAAATGTACAGGTTAGCAAACAAAAAACTTACTAGCTGGGGTGCCAAAAAAGTCAGCTGGGTGTGCCAAGGCCAGTTAAAGTACAGAGGAGTGCTCAGGAAGAACAGCTAAGTACTTGTATTCCAAAAATCTGCTTGGTGTGGTGGCCAGGAGAAAAAGAGCTGTCCAGAGAGGACGTTGAGGGGCCAAATTAATCCCTCGTGTGTAACTTCAACGGGGGATGCATTTGACTCAAGACGTTCCGGAGCTCATGAAAGATACTTGTGGGATTGACAGACAAAGGTAAAAGAAAAGTGCAGAGCCTGTAAAACCTACCCTAAACAGGCTCCCCCAGAGCAAACTGCCAAAATGCAGAGACCAGTGCCTCCAGCTTGGATTTGCATATGTGGGGACAGCTGAAGACCCATGTTCCCCATGTACCCTTCACTGTGATTTCCTGTCCAGTTAATGCATGAAGCTATCTTAATTTTCTTGCTGTTCTGACCTAACCTTTGTAGCACTAGGCAGGTAAATTGCCCACTCTGTGGGCAGGAAGTTATAAAAGTATCATGAAGAAGGACACAGGTGCTGTGATCTTTGTGTTTGTCATTCGTTGATATTATCCAAGTAGGAGTGCCTTTTACTAACTTTCCTCTTTCAGCTGGCAGGGGAATGGTTTCAAACTCCTGCCGCATGATTCGGCTACTTGCTGCATTAATAATGAGGGAGTGCAGCTGTTTGATACTGTAATGAACTGGCTAGTGCATATCCCTCAAAGCCTGCTAGTGGATGGGATCACAACTGCTCATCTGTGTGTCATGGGCACTATACTGTTAAGAGCTAAGGAGATTCTCCTTTATCTCAAGTCCTGGAGCAGGAAGATAAGGGTTTTTTCCCCATTGTCGTCATGAAGTTCCCAATGGCCATGGTGTGCAACACTGATAACCATACAACTCTTGGGTGACCACAGGTTTGTTACAATACATAGGATTTTTATAGGGCCCTCAGTCTGAGTCAGAAACATTCATGGATTTAGCCTCACAGTGGCCCCATAAGGAAAATATTACGATGCCATTTTGCAGATAGGAACCAAGGCTCAGAGAGTTGAAAGAGTTTGCTCAAGTTCCTGAAGGATTTATTTGGGCAGAGCTTAAAGTAGATCCCAGTTCTTTGATCTCACTACAAGAGTTCACTCCCTCCTTCTTGTCTATGACCATCTATATTTGCATTTGAGTGGGGAAGGAACTGAAGTAGTCAATAGGGGAAGTACAATGCTGGGATTTTCTAACCTGAGCAGGGGAAATAGCCACTGGGTTTCCCTTAATTTTATTGGCAGCTCTGAAAATCTGAGGCCCATTGTCTGCTTTCTTCAGTCTCATGTTCTGAGCTATTTCCACTTAGACCAATATATACTGGGAGGATGTGACTGGCCATGCTGCATAGGAATGTTCAGTCACGGAACGTTTGCAATGCCTGGGAAGCATAGCAGCCCCATGGAGCATGCTCAGTCAGTCTCTCATCCAGTTCATACCATAGAATATTTGATAGTGAGAAAGAGCTTGGGTGAGCCAATCAATTCCTCAAAGAGCCCTTTTGAGAGGTAAATTGCAGCCCTAGCTCTTCGTACCAGCTCTTATCTCTGTGCACTTCAGAGTGTCGAAACTCATGGCGGGAAAGGCCTCACATATAATGTTCATCTATCAGGGGAGCTCACACATTCATGGTGACTGCATCTCCCCTGGGACAAATACTCCTGTTTGCGTCTGACTTTCCAGGCCAACCGACCAAGGTGATCCCCTCCCGCCCCCTTACTGCCTAGCTGACTGGCACAAATCAAGTGAGCTGTCCAGTTTCTTATAGTTGTGGCAGCTATTCATTAGCAGACATGAAAAGAGAGACTTGGCTAAGTCTTGGTTGAAAATTTGGGCCACTCAATGGAAAAGGATTGTCATACAGGGAGTTTGGATCTGCAGTGCCTTTCTGGGCCAGCTGTCACCATGCACTAGCTTGTCACATATGGTTGGAGCAGGGGCGGCTCATTAGCCCAGCAAGTGAGGCACAGCCTAACCAAGGATTCCCAGAAGTTACAAAATACATTTTACATAGTTTTTTTTTTTAATTTAACGGATAAATATATGCAGATTTGAGGACCAATTGTGATTTGATTTAAATGTCACAACTCTCACTTTCCGGTAGCAGAATACAACGTTAGAAAGTATGAAGAGTGTAGTGTTGCGTGAGGCTCAAATCTTGGTATAGCTAGTGCCTCGCAAAGCTGCCTTGTCACTATGGCAGCTCACCATGCCTAGGAGTCCCTTTATAAGGGCGTTGCTGTGGTTACCACTGTTTGGTGAGGCCACTGCAGGATTGTAGCAGTTAGGCCCCATCCCTGCCCTCTGCAGCCCAGGCTTGTGCCCTCTGGCTCCCTCCCCATGGGGTGGGGCCACATGTATGTGCCTGAGGAACCAACACGGGTGGTTCCAGCTTCCAGGTCCACCTGCTGCTGCTTCACTGTAAATAAGGCAAGCTGTTCATAGCTATTAAATAATACATTGTGCAGCCGTGGAAATAACTATTTTTTTTTGTGATTTGTGCTTCCCTGGTCAAGGGTCACCATCCATCACTGGGCTGGAGATTTTTGTTTAAGGTGTGAAACTACAAAGTTGCTACACCATCCTTCACCCTCTTAGACATCTCCTAGGATAAAGAGAGTAGCTTCAGTTGACTGAAAGAGACCTCAAAGTTCTGCTGTTTGTTTAAGCCTTTATACCCCATCCCTTTGTGTCCGGAGGGTGTTTGCACCAAACACCATATTCAAACTCAACAGTGTTTCCATGCAGGGTCATGGCCTGTGTACCTAAGAGCAGGCACCTCCAGCCCTTTAGTGTTTGTTTAATAACATCTTAAATCTCATTCATAAATAGTCATTGTTGCTCATATTGTGAGCATCACGCTTTGACTTTCTGTTTGTAACACAGTGATTTTTAGTCTTTGAAGGTAGTTATGCAGGCTTCCACAAAAGCAAGACAAAAGTATCAGATTTTTAGTCTGGTGTTTTGTTTATAAAAGTATAAAAGTATTTATTGTGTTTCTGTCCTCTTTCCAGTATTAAAGAAACTACCATAAGGAAACAGAGTTTCACTGTTGATTGTATTTTAAAAAATGGTGTGCAGAAGTGTCACCCAATATGGGTCCAGCTTCTGCCACCCTTGCTCTGCAGATAATCCTATTGAAATGAATGGGACAACTCAAGAAGTAAAAGTTTACTCACTGTGAGTACGAACGGCAACAGCTGGTCCATAATTGTTCTCCTGCTGCCTATGTATATAAGTTACCCTGCTGCCTACAGAGGTTTTATTAAAATATGCATTTCCTGATGGAAGGGATGGTAATCTTGGTCTTAACTAGTTATGGACAGGCCCTACTGAATAGTCACCAGTTGGCTGGGCCAGACAGCTATAAAATTGGAGAGAGAGTAGATTACAGCATGTTCCAGTGAGTAAAATACTGATTGGGTGAGCTTTAAACAGGAAACACAGAAGCCTACAGTATTAGAACATCTAAATGTGATGTACCTGCAGCTGTATTCCCTTGGGCTGTGATCTCAATTAATCCACAATTTAAGCAGGAATAGGGTGGGTCTGTAACTGAATGGGAGACCATCTAGGATTATGCACTTGCTGCAGAAAATGTTTTTGGTGATTCAGTGAATGGCACTCTTCCCTCTCGACCAGAACTGAACCAGTGCCCTGGCTAGGCAGGTGGAAGCAGCTGAGTTGTAAAACCAGGTTCCTGTCCCCTTGCAAACACGCATGATACTGTAGCACATTTAGTAAGAGCAGAGGTTTTTTTTAAGCCCAGTGTCTTTCCTGAATTCCCTCATAAATAATTATATTCAGCCCACCTAAATTCCCCTGCTTGTTCATCTGGGTGTGGTATTCTTCACCTCCTGTCCTTAATTTTTAAATCAGCTGCTGTGATCCATCCTGGCCACATTTCAGTGGGGTTGAAGTGATTTCTACCTCACAGGAAAGGTTTTTTTGGGGTGGGGTGCGGTGCGGTGGGAATAACGTTTGTAAAGGAGCCCTGGAGATCCTCCATATGGAAGGCGAAAAGTATTAGTATTATCAGCAGGTTTCCATTTTGGAAATACATTAAAAAAATCCCATGTTAGGCTGGGTTTTAAATAAATAAAAAAAACCCTCTAAGAATATCTGACTTTCACATGCAGAGTGTTTTGGATACTGTGTGAGGTTTTGGATACTTTGTTGAGAAAAAATTTTTTTTTCTCCTGCTGATAATAGCTCATCTTAATTAATTAGCCTCTTACTCCACTTTTTCATGTTCTCTGTATGTATATATATATCTTCTTACTATATGTTCCATTCTATGCATCCGATGAAGTGGGCTGTAGCCCACGAAAGCTTATGTTCAAATAAATTTGTTAGTCTGTAAGGTGCCACAGTTACTCCTGTTCTTTTTGTGGATACAGACTAACACGGCTGCTGCTCTGAAACCGGTGTTGAGAATACTTTGTGAGGCTTTGTAAAGTCTCAGTGAGCTCAGTCGGCTGGAGTCAGGGTTCCTACATGACTTCTGGCCAGCATCAGTAAAATATTTGTGAATATAGTGTATTTTTAGTGCATCACTTGTTTGGGGGTTGTTGTTTTTTTTTTCTTTGTTTGATTTTTAGACGATTACAAGGCTCTCTCAAGGATGAAAAGAAGAAAAAGTTTGTGACTGGTGAATGGTTTAATGAAGTGAAGGCAAAACGTTTTCAAGAGGAATTAGAGGGGCCAGACCTGCTTCGAGCATCCATTAGAAAGAAAAAGGAGAAACCGGAAAGTAAGTACATTACTGCGCATCACTGTGCAATCTGCTGGTAACCAGAAAAAGGTGAGCCCCAGACACTGCATGGTGTGATTCCTAGGTGCCATGCCTTTGGGGTACTAGCCTTTGTATACTTGACATTTACATTCCAACAGGGGTTTTGTGAACTGTTTTCAGTACTAGGAAATACAACGATCTGCATTAGGGCTTACAGGTGAGATTTACGCTGCTGCAGAGATCAAGTGCACTTGATCCCTGTTTTGGGGAAGTAGCTAGGACTAAATGGTCCATAGTACCTGACTTGGATCCTCAGCACTGGGCTGCTGTTAACCATAAAAACGCAGCCTCAATAAACTGGGTCCAAAGGCCCCACAGGAAATCCATTTAGAAATGGCTTAGTTAGTGTGCCTTCTCCAGACACAGCTAGTGGGGACCAGAGGCAGGTGGCTTGTGCTGAAGACCTTCTGTTTTACCACAACCTGAAAATGTGCTTTACTGTTTCTGGTGTGATTTCACTTTGACTGAGTAGTGAGAATGGGAATAATGTACTGTATTCTGTTTGTTAGATAGACCGAGGAAACCCAAGATTAGTGGCATGGTTTCTCCACATCTCCCCACCTCACCATCCCTGCTTATTAAATTATGGATTTTGTAAGGTATTTATTCCTCTAGTGGCATTTATGGGTCCCAGCTGAGATCAGGGCACCATAACACAATGCATATCAAGAGACAGTCCCTGCCCTGAAGAGTTTACAGTCTAAATCTACAGTTATGTATGCAGTAAATGTAATGTCAGTGTGAGTTAGGACCAGCTTATCCTCTCCACTTCCCCAAGTAGAGGGGACAGAGTCCTGGTGCTTCTCGGCTCAGTAGAGATGAGTGCTTCCTCCTTGGCATCATTCCTCTCTTTCCCTCAACCCTGAAGACGCTCTGGTGCCCGGCAGGGCTCAGATGTGTGAGGGGTGGGCTGGAAGTGATGGCTGCTCTTCATGGCATTGTTCCCTCCCACTTCAGTCCCGTGGGACTCTACAGAGCACAGTAAGTCAGCACTGTGGCCATCACTATTACCTTGCTAAGGTTCCTCCTCCAGTTTGTGAACCATCCCTCAGAGGGATTTGTGGGGTTCAGATGGCAGGGAGCGAGCTGGAAGGGAGTTGCCTCAGGGCTTCCATATTGATGGCTGCCTCCTTCCTCGTGCTCTCTGCCACTTCTGCTGGAGGGGGAATCCTTGCCCCTCTAACAAGAGAATGACAAGGCAACTCGGCAGGTCTAGTCACTTACAAGGGAACAACAAAGTATGCTGAGGCAGTGCTGAAAATGTCTGACTAGCACCAAGGCAAGGGTGTGTCTGGGACCATGCACTAATTCCAAGATGCACTGTAGTTCATATGACACGCATGTATAACTTCATCATTGTATATGGAACAGAACAAATCTCCTATGACTGCTAAGGGCAGTGAAGAGAATAGTGTGGCCCTTTGTGAGATGGGTAGGGCTGTGCATTGAGTCCAAATATAACCAGCCTGCATTTGGCACTTTTTACTGAACACTTGTGGGAAAATAATACTGGGGATGATTCACATCCAGTTCTGATGAATATGAGCCAAGTAAGACTAGGCAGAAACGCTGTGGGACTGTATGCCAGTCTTGTGCAATCTGCAGATTTAATTATTTTGCTAGGGTGGGAAATCACAGATATACAGACATGCCTGATTAATTATTGGCTCCAGCAGATTCCAGGAAGCCATGGTCCTGATGGCAATCTTTGATTAGAGCTGTCAAAGTCTTCAGTGATATACTTGTGCTTTGCTCTTTTGCAGAACCCAGGTTGTCACCTTCCAATTTTTCGAAATTATCTATCGTTTTGCTCCATCTGACTTCATATCCACCTACTCTCCATACTGGGCTCCTTATGCATTTCCTTCTTGATACACTCCAGGAGAGGGGGTTGCTCTTTCCTTTGCACTATTCCAACATCCCTAGCACCAAGGATGTTTGGACCCCAAAGGAAAAGTGCCATAGACTACATATGTCTTGTACTTTTCCAAGTCGAGGTTCTCTCGTCTCACTTCATAACAATGCTCAGAGCTTTACAACAGGATTCAGAGCCCTAGACTCATGGAAGCATTGCACTAATCTTGTTAAATGAACACCTACCTCTTCCAATCAGACTTAAGAACTGACGGCAGGGTGAGCAGTTCTGATCTCCAGAGGCAAAGGATAAAGGTTGGCAAGACAGCAATTGAACGCCCTTATCTCACCGATTTCAGACTCCACAAAGGTTGTGTCTTTGCTTGTGTGTTTTGAGCAGTGTGATCAATATTTGTTTAAACAGGACATTGCAAATGCTGCTAAACTTTCATATTGTGTATTATTGTGGTTAGACTTTGCCCTTTCTTCCTTCTCCCATTTTCTTTCTTCCCCTTCCTCCTTGTTTCTCTTTTTAATCTGCGACTGATTTCAAATCACTGGAGCAGCATATGACTTTATTATTTCCAAATAGAATTTCTCCTATTAACCTTCCCACTGCCATTCTATAGGTTATGGGTCAGGCACTGGAGCCATTATTTCTACTAAAGGCTTCTTTTAGTAGTAGCCAGATGCTAAATTCCCCTCTCAGATTACTGTGTATTAATGTATTAGCCAATTGCTCTCAGCTGTAAGTGGCAAACAGTGATCTCACCAACACTGGTGTGATTCCGTTGTCAATGAAGTTACACCAGAATAACTCTGGTGTCATTGAGAGCAGAACCTGGCCCGTGCAAGTAAGTAGGACTAGACTTTCTCAGAATGGGACATACCCTACGGCTTATGTGGAGTCTGAAATCAGTGAGATAAGGGCATTCAATTGCTGTCTTGCCAACCTTTATTCTTCCCTCTGGAGATCAGAATTGTTCACCCTGCCGTCAGTTCTTAAGTCTGATTGGAAGAGGTAGGTGTTCATTTAACAAGATTAGTGCAATGCTTCTATGAGTCTAGGGCTCTGAATCCTGATTTAAAGCTCTGAGCATTGTTTATTAAGAGAGAACCTCTACTTGGAAAGGTCCTACCCAGCTGGACACTGAAGTCCCTTCTATCCTTAGCTGCTACCAAAGGAAAATAGAAGAGGAAATTTTTAAAGTCTAAAAAATTCCTAACAGCCCTACTACAAGCAGAGTTTGGACTCCAAAGGAAAAGTGCCAGAGACTCCATGTAGTCCTCTGGGGACTTTCAGTATTACTGTTCGACATGGAAGATGCTCTGATACTGTGGTGATTGGCAGCAGCATAAAGCCCTAAAGGAGACAGACTATATATAGCTATATATATTATAGCTTGGCATTTAGTGAATTTCCCAGGTCCTGGAGATAATAACTAGTTTTTAAATCCTGGGAGGAATGTGATGGTAAGTGTGTGCCTACAGTCAGCTGTTTTAGCTTATTCTCAGACTAGGGAATTTCATTAATTTATTGATAATTTCTTTGTTCTTTATCCTGTGATAATCAATATATGACAAACAAACAAAACACCTACTTGAGCAGCCAGTTCTTTTCCCTGCCAATGCAGGATGGTTCCCTATAGTACAATTTCATCTTGTGTCAAATGCAGGTCTGTATTTTAACACAATAAGGAAAGGATAGCTGATGTAACAGTTGAAGCATTAGAGCCATATGATTAAGCCATACCTATGTATTTTTCTTTTAAAGAAATAGTTAGGCAAGCTAAACTGGTTCAACAACTGTTAATTCAGGGTGCAACTTGCCTCTCACTGTATCTGTTCTTAAAGTTACCGAGGCCACTTTACTGGCTTTCATGGGTTATAATACCCTGACAACCTGTTTGTAATTAAAAAAAAACAATTATGACTGTTGATTTGAGGGAGAAATCTAGATGGTCGGTATGAGAATACATGAAGACCTCAGAGTCCTCAGCTGGCAACAGTGCAAATATAATGCGATGGGTTTCATTGTGAGTTGCAAAATGAATGCAACTGTAGTTGTCGAGGCCTCTCATGGCTTGAATAGGCCAAGTATAAATGTGAGAGGTTTTTGTTTGCCCCCTCTCCTTCTGGTTCCAGAACAGTAACCTGTTTGTGTCTTGCTATCTCACGTGCAAGAATTTTAGGGTGGAGGAGGAGGAAGCTCTTGCTTCTGCCCATCGGCCTGGTTTTACATACACTGCTTGTCATTTGCCAGTTCTCAGCATGTGCCCAGCCAACAGGAGACTTCTTACCACGTCACAGCTCTGTGGCTTTTCTTGGTACATTTAAATGCTACTACTTGTGCCGTTCTCTGAAAAAAGATTATGTAAAAATGGAGAGACACGTTGGGTGAGGCTACACGGCACTGCATGTGTAAAAATGGCACATTCTTACCTACAGGGAGCAGGCCACTGAATGTGGGTTATATCTGCTCACGTCATTCCTGTAAGAATGGCAGAACCACATCCTCTCTAGGAAAGTTCTGGTTTGCACATCACCAACAGAACTGTTGTTTAAATTCCAATTGCGGGGGCCATATTCTGCCCTCATTTACACCTGTGCAACCCAGATGAAGACAACAGAGTTACATAGATGCAGGTGAGGATAGAATTTGGCCTGCAGAATCTTTGACATGTGATAATGCACAGATTTTTCAGATCTTAGGAATGTACGTGTTACCATATTGGCTTGGATAGTCATCTGCCTGGTCCAGTGATTGGTCTGACAGTGAACAGCACCAAATGCTTCCAAGGAAGGTGCAATAATCCCAGTGGATGCAGTAAGCAGCTGCATCATAACCTGTCCATAGAGAGTTTTTCTGCTGTTTGACCCACGTCTTTGCAAACCAATAGCTGAACAGCCAGGGATACCACATTTTGTAATGTGGTATATCGGGCCTTTGAACAGGAACCCTTGCATGGTCTGTTTCATACAATATAATCTAAAGAGTGCTGGCAGGTTTAGTAACAGGTACATTGTCTCTGTGCAATAGACCTTGCTGGCTGGTGAATAAATATATTAAGATACCAAGTAGCTTCTATTGCTCAGAACAAGTTGACTTTTTCATCCCTGTTTGAGAGTTTAACCCTTTTTGTTGTACAGTAGATATATTTGACAGTTGAGTTTCTAAGGCAGCTTTTGTACCCTGACATGTTGCTTTAAATGTTACTGTCTTCTCTTGTTTTTTTTCCTGTCGGTTGGTTCAGTAAAACTCAGAAGACACAGTTTAGCCCTGTGCCAGTACAAACAATAGGGATCTCCTTTTATTAACTCGATTGGCCGCCTCCTCTGTTTGCCAAGAACAGATGACTTTGAGTCAAAACAGGAAATAGCTGAATTCAAATCCTGGAATGGATTAACTTTATTGACCACCACTGCAGTGTCCTGTTAAGGTTTATAGCTGGTTTGACTGCTTCTGTCATTAGTAGAGTTGTTAGCCAGGTCTGTTTATGCTGACAAATCACAAGGGACTGGGACATGCTTTTGACAATGCTGCTTTTGAAGGGGGGGGGGGTGTCCATCCCCATTGAAACTGGCAGATCTTTTGAGCGAGAGTGTGGGAGTGAAGAGTGGGAGTGGAGAGCCGGCCAGCCTGCCTCTCTATCAATTACCCTGAGTTAATTTCACAGTTTAGCTCTGGTATGAATCATTTAACAAGTGTTTGCTTGCACCAAAATAAAACATAGCGGCTGTCACAGTTTTAATTAAATGTCATTTCCCAATCCCCTCTGTTATATAATAGATGAACCTAATGAACACATCCGGCAGAGCCTGGAAGGCAGAGCAGCTTCACTGCCATCAGACGCAACCAGTCCTCTCTTCCCTGAACTCACTCCTGACTTGGGAGCCGAGAGGTAACTGACAAAGGACAACAGTTTCAGTGCTGCATATTGGCTGCACAGACTTTCCATTATTGTTCATGAAAATTAAACGTAACAAGCAAGATCCCGGTTCTTTAACTGAACTTTTGGTTACTAAGGGATATCTTTAACAATTCTTTGAAAAGTATTTTGATATTAACCTCCCTTAATAAATGTCTGGTAATGTGTTTATTCCATCAAGGCTTTTCCTGCATGATTTGATAGGGGGCCAGCAAAAAGGCAGCAATAGCCAATCTCAGAATATTATTGATAACTTTTCAGATAAATGGTGGTTTTATATTTGTTTAACTTTTTTCAGCTGAGCATCATTAACAAAAGAAGCTGTTTTGGGAACATTGCTCATTTCTTGGCAGTTCCTTGCCACCACTTTTAACAATTCAGTATGCCTCATCGAAGCTTGATTGGGCAAAAATGCTCCATCAAAGTACAAGCAAAGTGGTGACTGCCTTTAGTATTAATAAGCTCTGGATAAACCATTAAAATATTTGCATTTCTGTTTGTTGCTCCCATCTCATTTGCATTTCGGTCAGCAAAATAAGAAATCATTCTTAGAAACAGGAAGGCAATGAATTGTTAAACATGTGGCACAACGATGCAGCCATGCTCAATTCAGTTTATCAGGGGGTTGTTTAATAAAGGACACAGTCTAAAAGCATTTCCTTGCAGAAGGATGTTCTCTGTGTACTTTCTTTGCCAGTACAGAAGTTCTTTAAATTTCATTTGGGCCAAATCCTCAGGGTTTTACTCTGTTTTTCCTGGTCCTCATTTGGGCAAAAGTCCCCTGGGAGTCAAACCTGAACACTGGAATTGCTGTATTGGATCTGACTAGCAGTCAGGAAGTTCACTGTGCTGTCTTTGATGTTGGCCAGAACTGTCCAAGAAAGGGGCAAGCAATCACATAGCCTGGTCATGGGGAAGCTTCTTCCTAACCTGCAGGCAGTTAGCAATTGACTTATTCCTTGAAGCATTTGTATTCCATAGGATTTGTTTTTATCCTGTCCAATATAATTGTGGCTGTTCCCATTGTCTGTATAAATGTCTAAACCCCACTAAGCTTTTGGACTGAAATGAGGAAGAGCTGGGGGCCCACTCATAGCCAGTGCCTCCCAGAACCAGGTCTAGAAGGGCCTCCCTCTCCTGTGCAGAAAAGGTCATCTGCCTCTCTGGCAGCATTATGTCTGGAGAGCCGTGTCTGAGCAGCAGATTGCACTGGCTGGGCTGGGAAGGAGTGGGCATTGAGGGGTGGGAGGAAATACACATTGATGCATCCATTTAAGACGAGGTTTCAGAAAAGTTTTCAGCTAGGAAAGGCACGGCAGAGTGACTCCATTGAAGTCTCAGTGCCAGGTGGTAGGGAGGGACGGAGGGCTAGCTGACAAAGACCAGTGCAGTGGCATTAGGCCTTCTCACAGATGGCTCTGGTCTCCTGCGACTCCTCAGGACACAGCTAGGAAATATGAGGGTCTTAGGAGATGGACCCACCATCTGTTCTGCATCAGTGCCAATCCTACCCCTCCGATGGAACATATCGGGAAGGAGATTCCACTGGAGGAATCTCCATAATTTTTTATTCCCTCAGGTTTTCCTGCAGAAGGGGAAAATCTGAGCCCATGGAAACCTGGGGATTTGTCCCTCTATTTTTATTGAGAGACGTCTCTAGAGGCCCTATTGACGGGAATGGGAGAGTTGTCAGTATAACCCAGAGTCGAGGGTCAGGCCCTTTATCATGCACCAAGTCATTCCAAATGCTTATGAAGGAAATAAATGAAGCCACTGATTCTGGATAATCTGAGCAGAGAGGTGTCGGCATAAGCAGACACACTATGAAAGTAACAAAAGTAGCTCAACAGAACTGAGCAGGCGTGAAAGAAGGTTAGGTGACCCTGAAAAATCTCCCCACAAAATGTGCCTTCACATTAGGTGTTGGAATCTACATCTTTGCTAAGGCATTTCTCATCTTCTGCAGATCCAGTACAACTGCTTTGGATTCTTCAGAGGAACATAAAACCTGGCCAAAGCCAAAACCAAGACATGTCATACTGCCACCCTCATCAAATGAGGTAGTGTACACGCAACCTATATGTTTTGCTTGATTATCCTTGGGGTCGGTACGTAGCCTATGCCAATTGCTACCGGCTTAGCGAGAGACCTGAAGGGCTCCGAAGGCTGCGTGGTGTTTATGCTGAGATACAAGACAATGTCTTTCCAGTTTTAATAGTGTTTAAGGCCAGAAGGGACCACCCAATCATCTAGTCTGACCTTGTATCACAAATTACTAAGCCGCACCCAGCTTTCCCTGTATTGAGCCCAATAACCTAGACTAGACTAAAGTATTAAAGCCCTCTGGAGACTAAACGATTATGTGCCATAAGCAGAGAACAGGATGTACTAAGGTGCACCAATGCCTGACCCCTCTACAATGGCAGAAAATTGATCTGGTGAGAGAGACCCAGATGTTTCGCCAGTTCATATACACTGATGGGGTTTATTTTCCCTGCAGAGATGGAGTGTAAATGATGTTTTGCCAGGAGAGAGCAACGCTGGAGTAAGTACAACAGACAACTGGCAGCTGTCTGAAAAAGGTAGGGTTTTTTGTTGTTTATTCAGCAATATGACTTCTATTATGCAGCATAGAAGGCATCTAGGTACAAAGCATTGTTTGGTATGTATGATGAAGGGCAGTTCTTACCTCAGCACCTAAGAATGGGTTTCCTGAAACTCACAAACATTAACCCTCTAGCACATTATGTCAAAGACAGGAAGCAGGGAGAGAAACCCTATGACTAAATCTTCTTTTGGATCCCCCAGTGTGTCATATGTTGTCTGTTTGGCTTGTAAACTCCTCAGGGTAAGGACCGGTCTTCTGTCTCTTGAACAGCACTAAGCACACTGTTAGGGCATCACAAATAGTGCATATGAATAATATGTAAATAGGGTCAAAGCTGTGATAGCAGTGCTGCTTACCTTGCCTCACGGGGACAAACTAGAGCTGGGTGGGTTTTTGAATTTTTTGTTTTTGAAACTTCAAAATTTGAGGGCAGGGGAAAGGGGAGGGAAGGAATGCTGGGCACTTCTCCAAAATTTTCTCCCTTTCTTTTTAATCAGCTGTAGCACAAACCTTCTGGTGAGGTTTTGTTCGAGCTCTTGGAATAGGCTGTGAATGTTTGTTTTTGTAGGTCATGATGTACCTCCATTGCCTGCCAAGCTCTCAGAAGAGGATATGGTTCAGTCCAGTTATTCTTCTGGGGTGGAGGTTCCTGATGTGCTCAGTGGCACCCCAGCAATGCAGAAAGCTCCCCCCATAGACACTAATATTGCCAGCAAGATACCAGTCAAGAGGAAAGCAAGCAAAGGCCTGTTCAGGTCAGAGACTCTTGTGAATCCCACAGAGCAGACTGAGGGCAGTCACGCAAAGAGAGAGTCACTTAAAAGCTCAAAATCTCTGTCTGGAGAGGAAGACAACAATCTGGTTCTGAAGCAAGGAGCCAACTATACCATCTTTTCCATGAGCCATAAAGATGAGGAAATCGGCCTAGATCATGAACATTTCAAGAACCTGAGGAACTTTTGGGAGAAAGGTGCTGATACCATAGTAGCAGGTAATGTTTCAGAGGAGTCCTTTGAAAAGCCCAGCGTGGTAGAGTCAAATGGGAGACCGTTCATATTGAGTCGCTCTCTCTCTGTACAGTCTAATCAAAGCCAAAATGGTGAAGAAAAGTCCAATGTCTCCATGAAAACCAGAATTCCCTACAAAAGAACAGTAACCTTCTCTTCTAGTGAAGATGAACCGTGCTACATAGCCCATTCAAGGAAGGTCTCGGCCTCTTCTATGGCCAGATCTACGTATGGCAAGAGCAAAGGGGCTGTGGTTGCTAGAAATAATTCATTGACTGAAAGTAATGGGAGGCAGGAGGAGGAGAGAAAGGCACAACGCTGCTTGAGGAGATCCAAACTGCCTGTGCGAGTGCCTTCAATCAAAATAGAATCGCCCACGAAAGAGGGGCCCAGCAGCACATTTGAACCAGAAACGCCTGCTGATGAGTATGTCATGCCTGAAGAAAGCAGGCGCAAAGTGGACTCATTGGCGAGTAGGATTCAGATATTAATAGAACCTGTATATTCAGACAGTGATAGTGATAGGGATAAAAGGTCTGATTTGGGCATTCAAGAAAACATGGAAACTAATGGAGAGCTGCCTGAGGCTAAGACACGTGAGCCTGCAGAAAACCTAATGTCCAAGGAACCAGCCACGGAGAGAGAAGCGATTCAAGGAACTGACTCAGCTGTATTCTCAGGTATTGAGAACTCCAACTACATCCCCAATGAACAAGTAGGTTTTTTCCTACTTCCCTGCATATTCTCTTCCTGAAGGCCCTTTTTCCCTCCCCCTTTACTTCCTGCATAAAGTTTTTGTGCTTATGAAATGTGCCAGGATAACAGCTTTGGAGACTCACAAGTCCTCTGTTTGGCCACAGGTTTGTTGTAGAATGGGCAATAGTACTGAACAATTCCCTCACATCACCCCACCAATGGACCTAATCTCTGACTTGGAGTCACCTAATCTGTGGATGAGGACAGTTCAGTCTGTCTGCTCACTCCACTCCCTCTCTCTCTCTGGAGGCTGCCATTAGAGAGCTTTTACCCAGAGATTTCATGTTAATTCGGTACCCAGCGGGATGCATGTCCTTGTGTAAGGCCTTTGGGTTTATTACAGGAAACTTTTGTTCTTCCCATTGAAGTGTTGCTAGAAATATCAGACACCAGGCGCCTAATTTAATGCGGTGGTTATTTGGAGTTTTTGCTTTGGTGATATGGAGACCTCTCCATCAGGAATTGGATTGAGGCCACCAAAGAGTGTTCAGATGCTAATGACTTTTGGGCATTTCTCAGGCCTCCAAGATTTTATCCACAATTAAACTTGTGCACAAAATTGCAGCCACAACTAATTGCACTGCCATTCTTCATCTCTCTGGATTTTTATACCCTGCTCCTCCTCATGGTAATGTTGCTTTGCTATACCTAACTGCCTGAGGTGTGAGTTTGCCCCCCAGCAGCACCCATTGAGGCATGTAAGGAAAATGAATTGTGCCAGCGTGTAATGGAAGGTGAAAAAACAATACTTGAGCTGTTTTTCTTAAAACGTGGGCTGGCTTCCTATGGACAGAAGTGGAAGGCTCCCTAGCCACCTTCTACTTTTATCATGGCCTAGAACAGTACCAAGTTAGGATCTAGTTAAAAACATTTTCTTTAAACTTCACCTACCCTTATTTGCAAGTATTGTTGCTACGTCATGGCTTAGTCCCTATTTCTCCCAACATAGAAATACCAAATTGCACTTTCAGTTAATAGAAGTGTTCTATGTAGGTACCAGGCAATTTTTCAAAGATATATTTAAATTTCTTTGTCTACATGTTGTTGTCACAGGAATGAGCCTGCCAGGTGGTGTGAGTTGTGTGGGAAGCTTTGTGCCTTTGATGGTCTATTTTGGGGACTAGATTAATCTTTTATCGTTTGCCTTTTCCATGATGGAGATACATTTTTGTTTTGTTTTGGGGGAGATTTTTCAAAGGCACAAATGGCTGTTAGATGCCTGCCTCCCACTGAAAGTCAATGAGAGTCAGATGCCTAAACTGCCATGTGTGCTTTTCAATCTCCTCCTTTATTTGATCCAGTTAGTGTCCTAGTTATTTAATTAACATGCTGACGGTGAGACCCACAAGCCCTGGATCTATTTTTTATTTTTATTCATTTGCTTATTTTGGTGCTTTGGTGTTTAATTTTATTTCAGAAGAAGGCGGGGATCAATCCCCTGTTGCCATGGCTCTGGCACGAGCGAATAGCATTAATCTAGCCAAGAGCATGGTGAACATTTACACAACCAGTGAGAGTGAGTAATGTCTGTCTTTCCTCTTTTTTTACGTTTTCATAAGCTCATACTTTCGGCCTGGATCTTGCAGCCATTGGGTTCTTGTACAGGGACTAAGCAAAGAATGTTTCATCATCAAATTAGAAAGCTGATTCACACCCAGTAAACTTCTAACCAAATTGATGTTTATCTTTGGCTTGTCATACATTCTTCTAGGTGAAACCTTGGGAGCTTCAGGGGGTTGGTGAAAAGGCCATAACTTGGCTGTCTGTGCACTGCAGTCCAGTCAGTGGCATAATGGGGTTGGGACTATGGCAGAATACGGATCTGCTGGCTGCAGTTTCTGTGTTGGGAGAGGCTGGAAGAGGTGATGCTGCAGTAGTGGTTCTAGACTGGCTGCACCAGGTCCCTACACGCTGCACAACTCAGTTATTTGGCCTTTGCACAGAGGATCAGGATTTCAGCCTCTATTTTAAGATTGCTATGGAGTTTTGTTCAGAGCCATAAGCCCTGAAGGTAGCAAAACCAACTATGTAGTGTTGTTTTGATGTAATTTGTTTGCAAAATAATAAACCTGGAGGGAGGGTTGGAATCAGCAGCTTATTGTGTTTACTCCAGTTTAGAGGTAAAAATGACATGTAGGTTTCTATACTACTGAGAGGGTGCTTGGGCCCTTTGATCATTGTAGCTTGGTGGGGTGTATTGGCCTTCATGACTGAAATGTTTTGTGTGTGTATAATCTTAAAATCAAGCCCATTGTTTTAGAAAGGGGTTAGTTATTGGAAAGAGAAGTTAAGGATCAAATGATTTTATTTAACTTGGTTGTTTAAATGCCTAACTCTCTTTTTAATGTGGTACGTTTTTAAAACACAACAGGCTTCCCTCCGCCCTCCCTTGTTTGTTTAATTTTGGAGTTTGGATCTTCCCCATGAGATGTTGCCACATATTCTGAAAAACCAGCTAGTCAGTGCCAACGCTGTAACTGTGGCGGTTTTTTAATGTGAATAAGAATCTGTGCATACCATGTATTTGAAGACTGACCAAAATCTCAGGACCAAGTTTTGCTCCAAGTTACACCGGTGTAAAGCAGGAGGAACTGAGTAAAGTCAGTGGAGTTTCCCTGATTTACACTCAGGGACTGGGAGCAGAACTTGTCGTTAGATGTTCGTGACCAACATCACTCTTCTTAACAATAATTAAGAAGTGAGATGACTTTTCCCCCATATCTCATGCAGCATCAAGATCAAATTAGATCATAATAATGAATTTGATAACTTATGATCTGATTCAAAGCCCACTGAAATCAATGGGATTCTTCCCATGGATTTCAGTGGGCTTTGGATCAGGTACCTACATAATTACAAAGAGAAAGCTGGATTCAAAATAAACATCTGTCTGTTTTTATCAAAAGTATTGGAAGGAGATCGTATACAACTCCTAAATTGTAGGCACAAATACTTAGTGATTTTTTGCAAACCGTGAATACTGTATGCAATACACTGAGATGAAAATATCAATAATTTTGGTTTTGTGTTTATATTCTATCCTAAATTAACAAGGAGATAAACTGTTGTTGTTCAGACTGAAGACAGTAAGTGACACACAATTCTTTAGGCTAATATTTAAATTAAATTAGCCACTAGAGGGAGTTTACACACTCTCTGAAAAATATAATGAAAACTCATTGAAATACATTTTAGCTAACTTTTCTGAGCTATTTTCAGGGATACAATTCAATTTTATAGGGCTAAATTCAGATGTGAAGTAAGTGGGTAGAACTCCAGTGACTTCCTAGGTCATCCCAAGCCCTATGTACAGTATATGCCACAGTTAATGGAAACTGGTTCCTTCCTCATTATGTTTTCCTGCCTCAGCCTATAGGACAACTTGTTGCCTTTTTTCCCCCATTTGTGCCTACAGCGTACAATAAGCCGCAAATGATAACTCATCAACTTCTTGAGCCCCAACGAACCAAAGAGCTGAGCAGATCTTCCCCCATCCTTCTATCTGAGGTAGGGGTGTGCGTGTAACCCAAACTCCACCAACTTTAACATGACTAACATGTTTAACATCTCAGTAAATACATGGTTGCAAATGCTCTCTTTAAGTGTTGATTGAACCATAAACTCTGGAGATGACATTGGAGCACTCCCAGGGCTGGCCTTATGGGGCGCTGTGGTCAGTGGGGCACTGTGGTCAAGAAGCAAGGAGCAGGGCAGGCCCAGGGTGCGAGGCCTCAGAAGGAAGCTTGGGGCAACGGGGTGGGGAAGGCAGCGAGTGCCGGGTGGGGAGCCTGGGGAGGCAGTGAGGATAGGGGGTGAGGTGGGGTAGGGAGGCAGTGGGGGCTGGGGTTGGGGGGAGCCTGGGGAGGGAGTGGGGCCCTGGGATGACAAAATGCAAGTTTGCTCAGGGTGCCATTTTCCCTAAAGCCAGTCCTGAATAATCCTAAACTAGGCCTTAGGTTTGGGAGATTGAATCAAAAATCCTTTTTAACAGAACTAGTCCTGAAGGATACCCAGGACTTCTCCTTGGTCATTGTCCCCCAAGCCATAACGTTGTGGTGATCTCTTCAGCAAGGGAGATTGCATGCCGCTCCATTGGTCGTCAATTAATGATGATCTTTCAGTCGGACACAAGGAATATCCCTGAGGAGACTCCCTGCACTACATTCCTTTTAAATCTTCTTCTAACCTGCGTCTAATGGGAGTCTGCTGAGCTATTGGTTTTTGTGCATAGTGCTTCAGAGTGCTCGCACCGCAGTGTTTAAAGATGCCTGTTACTTTCTGCACAGACGGAATCGGACACTGCTTCAGAAATCAGCTTCCAGTTTAACAGACACAAAAAGACTCCTAGCATTGGCAGCCACTCCTCTGACATGGCATCAGTCTCTTCGGTAGGTACTTAATGGGCTCATCGTGCTAAAAAGCGGTTTTGCGGTAGGATGCAGTGACGCTGCATTTAGCTCTGGTGCTATGGCACCTGGAGTCTCCCATTATTTCTGGGCATTGTGTTACTGTGAGGAGGAGGATCACTATAGCGATTGTATTTTCTTTTTATTATTTATGCATGTATGTTATAGTTTGTGTCTAGAGGCCCCATCCAAGATCAAGGTCCCATTGTGCTAGGTGTTACGCAAACACAGAATAAGAAACAATCTCTGCTCCAAGCTATTTACAGTCTAAATAGAGAAAACTGACGATGTGGTGAGAAAGGAAGGATTATTACCCTGGTTTTATGGCTGGAGATCTGAGGCACAGATTAAGTGACTTGCTCATGGACACACAGTACATATGTGACAGAGCTGGGAACCAAACTCCGATCTCCTGAGTTTCCGTTGTCAACAAATTGAAGGGAGTTCAGAGAAGCACAATAAAAGTGGGACTAAGGGAACTGATCTGAGGGAAGATTACATGATCTAAATATATTTAGCTAGGTGAAGAGAGGAGTATGGGGAAGGTATGTTGGGTGGGATTTTTAAAAACTGACCAACTGAGTTCAGGAGCTTTCAACAGGTCTTGTGTGTCTAACTCACTAAGGTGCTTTAGAAAATCCAACTCTAAACCCTCTGCTGGGGTAAGCCAGTGCAGCACTTTATTAGGGCAGTGAATTTGGCTCCAAAAACTGAGAGGAAATATTTAGGGGATTCCTGAGGGGTAATGAAATGAAGTCAAGAAGGGAGAAAGGACAGGCTGAATAACAGGGAAAACTCCCTATAAAATGGGAGTGAAATATTGCCCAGGGGTGTTGGGAAGGTTAATGACTTGCTTTGTATCCTGCAATGCCATCAACATATGCCTTCAATGAATCGAAGTAATTGGTGTAATAGAACTTACACCTTTGCTTGTGTTTTATTTCTGCCTAATCACTTGCTCCTACTGAAGGCAATGGGATGGGCTGTGGGGGTTTTATTGTTTGTTTTTTGTTTTTTAAATGGAGGCCCAAAGCCAGTGAGCATTTGCACAGCAGTGTTTGTGAGTGCAGAAGACTATGTAGGTGTCTAGCTATCCATTTCTCTGTGCAGATGCACAATTTGTACGTGCAGTCCTGGCAACCAGGCACACAAAGGAATGTATCTCATGGTACATCAGCTCCTCAGGGCAGGGGTTTTGTTTGCCTCTCTTTTGTACAGCACCATGCACATTGAGAGTGCTTCAACAATGTAATAACAATGGGGCTAATCCTGAGGTTCTTGCTCAGTTTTTCATCAGTCCTTACTCAGGTAGGGCATTCCCTGGCATCAGTGGGAATCAACCTGAATGAAAAACTGTATAACTGTTGAGTAAGGAACTTTGGGATTTGGCCCAATAACTGTAGATTTACATGCAAGGAGTTCTGGTAGTCTCAACTTATTTCTTTTCTGAAAAACCCAATGGTGACATTGGGTTAGAATAACAGACAGCTGTCCTGTTGTGTGCTGGGGTAAAATGGCTCATTCGGTCCGCCATGGTCAAGAGACCCAGCTACCCTCATTCTCACAGAGCGCTTTGAGGTCTCAGGATGAAAAAAAATTCTGTGTCATTTGGTGAATTCAGACATCCAGTACTTAATAGCATGGCCCTGAAAGAGTATTCCCATCTGCACCTTGCCCACACTCCACAAGGACTTGATCCCACAGCCCTTAGTCACATGAATTGGGCCAGTGTTATGTTGGTACCCAGGAGCCAGCTAAGATCAAGTACAGAGTTTTTACAGCGTGTTTTGCTGTGAATGTACTTTAATTGTTGCTTTTCCCAGCATAATGAGGCTGCCTACCTTATTAGCACTAACCTTGTTCTTCTACCTGGACAGGTAAGTGGTAGCGTTCTCAGTGTCTACAGTGGTGATTTTGGGAGCGTGGATGCACAAGGGACTGTTCAGTTTGCTCTGGATTATGATGAGAAAAACCGAGAATTCCAGATTTATGTTTCCCAGTGCAAGGACCTGGCTGTGGTGGATGAGAAGAAAGGCAGATCTGACCCGTGAGTGAGGCTTATTTGTTTTGGTTTTATTTCTAAATTGCCTGATTATTTTCCCTAGGGGATTCTTGCTTTACCTGTTTAACGTTTTGTGTTTAGAAGTGTATTGGTTTCCTCCCTCCCTCCTCCAGATTTCTCCCGTTGGCTTGGCAGTACTGCCTTACTGGCTGCCAGCCCTACACTCACTGGAATCGATAAGGGATTTGCCACTGACTTAAATTTGAATGGGATTTTGAAACTTCAGGCCCTGGTCATGACCAGGGCCTGAGCACCTGGAATTCCTGTTGAAGACAATAGGGGATATGGGTGCCAAAGTTCCCTCTAATTTTTTACATCCATGTGCGGAATGAATTTTGCTATGTGCACTGATATGGTGGTGATGTGTGGCAGGGGTGGGGCTGAGGAGTTTGGAGTGTGGGAGGGGGCTCAGGGCTGTGGCAGAGGGTTGAGGTGCGGCAGGGGATGAGGGTTCCAGCTGGGAGTGTGGGCTCTGGGGTGGGGCCAGGGATAAGGTGTTTGGGGTGCAAGCTGCCCCAGGGCTGCAGCAGGGAGAGAAGACTCCCCCCAGCCCTCTCTCGCCGCAGCAGCTCTGAGGCTGTGTCTGGGGGAGAGGTGCCTCTCCTCACGGGCTTGATAGACTGTTGTGCAGCTTAGAGGGAACTTAGATGGGTGCATGATACTCCTTATGATCAGACTCTTGTTTATTTTGGTTCCTAGAGACCTTTGGCATGTAGTGGCAAAACTCCATCACAACATTGCAAACACATATTTGTGGATGTCCGTGATGGTTCTCCATCATGTGAAGCTGAAAAGGATAATCTCCCTTTTAACCTTTATAGGACCTTCAGTGGACGTCTTCTGGATCTTCAGTGTAGGACAAAACCCACAGTACAATTTTGGGGGAGGGGGAAATTTTAAGAAACGCTTTTGGTGTGATGCACAAGTAATACTCTGCAGTAGCAAATTTTGAACCTAGTGTACGTTCCTTCTGGTGTAGAGGTGCCCCATACACTGAAAGGAAATCTATCTGCATATGTGGCCCCATTGCCATAGTATCTGAATGACTTGCAAACATTAATAAATTATCCTGTGAGGCAGGCAAGAATTATTAATCTCAATTTCACTGATGGGGAGCTGCGGCACAGAGTCGGAATGACTTCACCAGGAGTTTGAAGCAGAGCTGGGAATTGAACCCAAGTCCATTAATCCAGTACCCTATCTGTGCAATCATCCTCTGTCACCCAAGCAATAATTTACAAATTTCCCTCACACCTATGTGCCATAATCCTGACCTGGAGGTATTACTTCTGGGAGCAAAAGGGTAGTTCCTTTCTCAGGCAAATTCCAAACACTGTATTGGCATGACAGGCTAGACAGGCATTTCCAAAGCATAAAGCATTCAGAAGACTTTACATCCCTCACCTTAAGCCTGCTGGAGATAATAGAGCATTTGTCTAGGATGGAACTTCACAGTATATTTGGGGTATATTCTCCTGTGTCCATTTTGTGCCTTATCAATCCTTGGCCTCTCTATGGAGAATCCCTAAAAAAGAGCACTTTGGTCCTAATTGTAATGGTGGTGGTTCTGATGTGGATGTTTCTCCACTAGCAATTGGATGGTTTCAGACGGTGATAGCTTCTGATTACCACCAACGCAGTTCAGACTCAAACATGGTGACAGGCTCAGTCCCCTTGAGACATCCCACCTCTCCTGCTCTCTTCTCTTATTTCACCCTTGCACAATGTCACTGCGATCTTGCACATACAGATATCTTATGGTATGACAGCTGATCCACTACCCCATTTACTGTTACAGAAAATGGTCTTTAATGCTTTCTAAATGATTACCAGTTTTACATATTGGCTGGGGAGCCACCTTCTTCTGGTTTCATTAGAGTTCATCCATCTCCACTGAACGATTTATAACTTCATGCAGAAGCCAAGTTAATATTCGAACCGGTTTCTTAGTTTTGGTTCCAGATTGTCAACTACAGGTCTTTTGATAGCATAAATTCCATGTAACCATTCAGAAATCTCCCGTTTGTTGGAGCATGGCAGTGTGGAATGTTACTCAGCTGGAGTTCTTTTTTTTCCAGGTATGTCAAAACTTACCTGCTCCCAGACAAAGCTAGAATGGGCAAGAGAAAAACCTCGGTGAAGAAGAGAACAGTGAATCCCATTTACAACGAAGTGTTAAGAGTAAGGACATTTTTGACTAGCTTTATTCTAGCACACCTGGATCTTGCTGGCAACACCAGGGTCTGGTCCTTAGAAGTGCCAAGCACTTGCAAGCCCCTGTTGACTTCACTCAGAATTGTGGGTACTCCTAACCCCTTTGGATGTGGCCCTCAAGCTTGGTGTTCCCTGCAATGTCACCCAGCCCTGGTCTAAGCAGGCTATCTCCATTACTAGACTAGATGATCATAATGGTCCCTTCTGACCTTAGTATCTATGACTGAGAAGATAACCCAGCCACCATGCGCATTCATGCTTTGACCTCTAGGGTGAGGCTGCCAGCAAGGATACTATATTGGGTTTTGTGATGTGGATAGATAACTAGAAGGCCTATACAGCTCACAAAAGCAACATTGGATAAAACTAACTCTCTGTGTGCATTCTGGTGAATGTTAGTTCTTTATAAACAATAACTACTGAAGTGTCACATCCACTTTTATGAGGTGGATAATTATTATTAAACCCTCATGGACTGAGGAAATTAAGACAGGTTAAGTGACTTGACCAAAACCACAGAGTGAGACCTGTCAAAACTGGGATGAAAACTCTAGTCATTAGCTGTCAGGCTTGTGTGTCCACTAGGCCAGGCTATTAACAGCCCCTCCTCATCTCACCTAATCATTTCCCTGCTATTACAGGAGCCTCAGGCACTGGTGTACCTCGGTCCCTCCTATTCTCTGCCTGTGGCACGTATCAGACAAGTCTCCTGTGGGCTATCACATTTTGGTCTCATTTCAGTGGTTGGGTTTTGTGCGGGGGTGCTGGCTGGTGCTGTTGGCCTGTGATATACAGGAAAGCAGACTAGATCTGTTGGTTCCCTTTTGCTCTTAACACTGGCAGCTTAGCAAAGGACCCTGTTCATGCGTAGGTACTGGCCTGGAGGGAGCTTGTGGTAGTGACCTTTGTGCCATCAGTAATGTCCAGGGTGGCATTGTTCCCACTGCATAAATAGCTCTGGGATCCTCCAAAATTTCAAGGGACTTCTGCGTGAGTGTTTTACAGACCGCAAAGTCTGGGGAGGAGCGGGATAGGGAAGGAGAAGGGGTAGCTTGCAGATAACCTCAGATCTTTTGGAAAAATCAGTGGCCAGTATCGAGCCCCGTTGTTTGGGTTACACTTTCAAGGCTTTTTGCAAGAACAAGAGGCTACAAACTTCCTTTAAACAAATGCAAAAAAAGTGGCAATTAGCTAAAACCTTTCTTAATCCCCAAAATCAGAGAATTGAGATGTTGCCAACCCTCACGACTTTATCATGAGACTCATGATAATTTGGTGGGTTTCTTAAAGCCACAGGTGCTAGAGGCCTGTGATAACATGAGAATCTCTGCTTTCTCTGAAAGGCAAAAAACTCTAGCTGGTTGCGAAGGAAAATTTGAAAATATAAAAGCAGAGGGCCAATAAAAAGACCCCCAAATGTATATTCTCTCTACAAATCTCATGGCTTTTAAAGCTAATCTTATATTTATTGGGAGGGCTGACTCATGATTTTTGAATGTTTAGGGTTGGCAATACTGGGATTGGAAGAGGGAGTTTTAATGAGTTCTGAGAGCCCCTATGACCAGGCTGTGCCTGAGCTATGTATTTCCTCTACCCTGCACTGGCTACCATTCATAACGTAGGAATATGTGGCATTCACCACTATGATCTTACTGATGAGCGCTTGAAGGATTAATTAAAATAAAAAATGCTGTATAATAATTCTTGTAAATGTATTGGGGCATCCTTATAAAAACAGAAGTCATTGTTTCCCTACTCCCAGAAAAAGGCATTAGCAATATCTGAATCAAGTATGAAGCAGCACAAAGCTAGGCTGACATGGGATTTATAATTTTCCAAAGAAGGGGGCCCAGTCCTTTGAAATAAGCATTGAGCGGGTGTCTTTTGGATTGTTTTCTATAGATTCTTTCTTTCTTTGGGCTGGACTGAGACAGGTTATTACTTTGCGTTTGCAATGATAAAAAACTAGGTCTATCTTAAAATTATATTTAACATTCAGACAAAAGCAAAATATTTTGAGCAGTCCAACCCTCTTTTTCTCCTCTCTAGTATAAAATAGAGAAAATGGTGTTGCTGATCCAAAAATTAAATCTTTCCGTGTGGCACAATGACCCACTAGGACGTAACAGCTTCTTGGGAGAGATAGAAATAGACCTAGCTAGCTGGGATTGGAGCAACAAGAAACTCAACTGGTACATGCTGAAGCCACGGGTAAGTATGTCTCAGCTGGTATCCTACTAATTTGTTAATTATGACCAAGCAAAAAGTGTCATTCCATTTCTCTGTTTTCTTCATATACTGCATGGAGGAGAAAGTTATTGGAACATCTCAAGGCTACAGCCTCTTCTATAACTAGGCATTGCAACACACCCTGACAGTCAGATAACTTGGATATCAAGTGACAATGGATTTGTTGGTGCCGCCATGTTGAGATGCCCAGTTTGAGATCCCTTTCAAGAGACCTGATTTTCAGAAAGTGATGAACACCTGCCCTCTGAAAAATCAAGCCCCTTTAGTGTGTCTCAAAGTGGTTTAATAAAATCACAAACCAATTTTGGGCCTTTGGGTTCTCACACTCCAAGTGAGGAAGCAAAGCCTCAGAGTGAAGAGCCCTCCCCCGAGAACAGACTGCCCCAGCCATGAATACCTAGGACTATCTGTATGAACATCCCGACTGCTCTTAAATGCTGCAGTGGATTTTAGGCTAAACATGCGCTTGTATTAGCACATCTTGGATCTTTCTTTTTCAGACCCTCTCTGCCATTAATGGTGTGGATCATCGAGGCGTGATGAATCTGTCTATTAAATACGTCCCACCAGGAAGCTTAGGTAAAATATATTTTATACATTAAGAAGAAATATTGCCGTGCCTACAGGGCATGCAGCTTGCAACCCAGTCTATTTCAGGCATGATTAAAGGATAATCTCATTAGAGCAAGAGATGGTCTTTGTGATTTGCGTGAATGAAGAGCCGCAGGTGCTGTGTACTTCAGTATGCAAGTTGTGTATGGTTTGTGCTCAGCTCCGGGTTAGACAGGAGCCTTGGTCTCACTCATCAGTGCACTCTGCCCACAGTTTTAAGACAGCCGTGCTGGCAAGCTCTGAATGGAGCCCAGTTTAGACTTCCTCTACCATGGGGGCTGGTCGCTGCAACGTGGGGTGTTATGGAGGGAAAGGGAACGGAAATCCTTTTGTGTTAGTTTTGGGTGGAGATGAACTCCCAGGAGAGGGGCGCTTGCAGACTGAAACATTGTACAGGGGCTCTGTAACAAAAGGAAACATTCATTAGCCAGGGGACTACAGTCTGCTTGGACCTCTGATAAGGTCCAAAGGAAATCTTTCTCTGAAGTGGGAAGAAGCGGTGTGGGTGAGCACTAGGACAACAGCAGATTTAGGATGAAATGAGCAGAAAAGAGGATAGAACATACCCTTGTACTCTTTGCTATCTCCCCTCAATAATGCAGATCAGGTGTCTCCTCTCTCTTCCATGCTGCAGAGAGCTTTTCAGTCCTGCCAGTGCCTCTGCCTCTGGAGCACATACTGTCTCCACCTCCCAAGCTGCTACACAGCCAGACTGTCCTGATAAAATGGCTTTTCTGGGGGTGTAGCACCTTCTGTTGGCCCGTGAGAGGAAGTGCTGTTTTAATGTCTCTAGTAGGAGTGTTTCATTGGGACTAACAAGCTGATAAGCGGCTGCACACCAGCAGAACTGGTATCTAGCTGTTCTGTGTTGTGGGAAGTAGGGGGCAGAGTTGGGCCCTGGATCCATCCCTTCACACTTTAGTGAAGGAAGCTGCTCCTCTGCTTGCTGACTACTATTAGGACTTGATTGAAAACAGTTCTATTTTCTGAAATGGCAGGTCCAAAGAATCCTTCATCTGGGGAAGTTCATATCTGGGTCAAAGACAGCAAGGACCTCCCACAGTTGCGCCCTTCTGGAATTGACTCCTTTGTGAAATGGTAATTGTATGAGCTTTTTCCCATATACACAAGTGGGGAAGATCTTAGTTTAGATGCAGGGCTCACACACACATCTTCCTGGAGACGTCTTTTTGGAGGCGTGTTTTCTTCTAACGGTCATACCTAGCAGTGCATCAGTTCTTTGCACTTATAAATAGCTGCACGCTATCTTAGGTGCAGTGCTCTGTTCTCTAGGATCATCTGGAGTGAATTGCCTTTTGTTGTTCACCATAGAGCATATCCAGAAGTCCCTACTCTGGCAAAATTCCCACTGAAATCAATGGGAGTTTTGCCTAAGTAAGGATTGAGTAAAAATGGAGGGAGGGCCTCTGGGTCTGACCTTGTGCGTTCAGGCGAAATTGAGAATTTTGTGTATCAAAGTGCACACACACACACGGAGGTAAGGGAGGCTTGTCTTTGTATGCTCCTTTTTGTGTGAAAGATTGATATACTTACATGGCTGCACCACTCTAATCATCACATAAGCATGTAAAGTACAGAACCATAGTTTCAGTCTTGGTGTCAGCAAAACGTGTACAAGTTTATAAAGGCAGCTGAGATGGGGAAGAGTGAAGTGTTGTGTTTTCTCGGGGGGGGAGGGATCATGTTGGATAGTCAGCAGAACATGAGCTCCCAGTGCAGTTTTGTGGCCAATAGGGCTAATGTGATCCTTGGATGTATAAACAAGAGAGTGTAGAGTCAGAGTAGAGAGGCTATATTTACCTCTGTATTTGGCACTGGTGTAATCTCTACTGGGATACTGCATCAGTTCTGGTGTCTACATTTTAAGAAGGATGTTGAAAAATTGGGGAGAGTTCAGAGAAGAGCCCTGATTAAAGGATTAGAAAACCTGCCTTATTGTGAAAGATTCAAGGAGCTCAATCTATTTAGCTTAATAAACAGAAGGTTAAGTGGTGACTTGATTACAGATTAGAAGTACTTCTATGGGGAACAGAAATTTGATAATAGAGGGCTTTTCAGTCTGTAATAAGATAGACAAATTTAGACTAGAAATAAATTGCAATTTTTAACAGTGAAGGTAACTAACCATTGGAACAACTTACCAAAGATTGTGGTGGGTTCTATGCCATTGGCAATTTTTAAATTAAGATGAGATGTTTTTCTAAAAGAATGCTCCATTTCAAACACAACTGTGGGACTTGAAACAGTAACTAATATAGGGAAGTTCTCTGGCCTGTATTACACAGATGGCTAGACTAGATAATCACAGTGGTCCCCTCTGAGCTTAACAATCTACAGATCTATTAAATATGTCCAAAATATTGTCGGCTTTTCAAATTTTATCTGTTTTATGGAAAAAAGAGCATTTCTCAACATTTCCCTTCAAACTGTTCTGACAAGTCTATGGGCTAGGGTTACAGTTGGGGCCAGTTGTAGCCCAGGGATAGGTGAGTGTTGGGACATGTAGTGGGCCCCAGGTAAGGTTGGAGTTAGGGCTGATAGTGGTCCTTAGGCCAGGGTTACAATTGGAACAAGTTGGAGTAGCCAGGGTAGTAGTTAAATGTGTTGTGACCAGTGCTGGCCTTGAGCTATAGGGTGAGAATTGGGGCCTGTAGAGTTCTCTGGACTAGGGTTAGGCCTGGAGCTGTTAGGTACCCAGGATTAGTGTTATGGGTGAATGGTTACCATGGGAACTGGTGGTGGTTGCTGGGTTGGGTTTGACTTGGGGCCTAATTCAAGACCCTGGGTAAGGGCAAAACTGGGGGGCTCAAGCTATGGTTTGAGTGTGGAGAGGTTAATGTTGTCGTATAGGATTTCTGTCTCTGAACTATGTTTAAGGTTGGAGCCTGTAAGTGGCCTTCAAGTAAGGTATGGGGTACTGTAGACAGTAGAGTTAGGGATAGGGCTGGTTGAGGACCACAGACTAGATTTAAGGTTTGAAATCATAAGTGTCATTCAACTAGGGGTTGGTCCCCTAGGTTCATGGTGGGTAGGGCACCTTGGATGTGGATGTGAGTTGCCGTTAAGGGACTCTGGGGCAAGTGTTTGAGCTGATGTGGATTGGAGTGCTGCCAAAACACACAATTTTAAATGTTTTCTATAGAGCCCTAGCTCCTGAATAAAAGCGATTACACAGAATTTTACCTTGCTTTTTTCTTAATGAAAGATTTTTAGCCTGCTTGTTGGGGAGACGAGTGTGAACACATGAACGTTAAAATCCCAAACAAGATGACAAATAGAAAAAAACCAAATATATATTTTTTTAAATTTCATGAATTTAAGTCCAATGTCACAATTTTTTGAGCTTAAATAATGACTTTTGAATGGTTGAAGGGAGAGCTGATGGAATGGTAAGGATATGATCCCCAAATGGGGGTTAAAGTTCAGGAAAGGGATAGATTTGAGGGTCAGCAATGGGGCCAGCAGAGGGCCTCAGGCTAGGGTTAAGGTTAGGACTTGCAGGGCTCGCCCAGCTACAATTAGGCCAGAAAAGGGCCCTGGGCTATGATAAGGATTAGGAATGGGGCAGGCAATGGCTCCAGGACTAGGGTTAGAGGTGGAGCCAGCAGAGGGCCCCAGAGGACAGGTGACAGAGGGCTCAGGCTTGGTTTAAGGTTGGGATCTGTGGGCTTGCCTGCCTACAGTTAAGTTTGGGGCTGGCAGAGGGCCCCAGGGTTAGAGCTAAGGTTAGGGTTAGGGCTGTCAGAGGGCTGTTGCGACAGTTGGGCCTACAGATTTATGCTAATTGTTCACAGCTGAGCTCCCAATGAGTGAAAGTTCTTGAAGTGTCACAATAACCTGCAACAGCAAATGTTGATGGGGAAAGTTGCAAAAGGAAGACAGACCGATTGAACTGCTCCAAACAAAAAGGTGTACTGATATAACTCAAGGACTGTGTTAAAATCATGCCTGGTAAACAAGACCATGTGAGGCTGAAAATCAAAATTGATGTGTCAGAAATTAGGCCTAATTGGTGGACAAAATAGTGAAAGGATGGGCTATTCTGTTGGGGGTGGGGGGATCCTTAAAGAAAGATTTTTTTGGAAGGAAAAATTGGTTACTGGAGTGAACTTCACCATCATGCCTGCCACTCCCACCATTTCCAGGGACCCCCGACCTTCTTTATTCTAATCCTAAGAGATGTCCTGACCAGACTAGGTCAGAGAGGGAGAAAAATGACATCCCACCTTTGCTGGCTTCAGCTAAATCCTGAATACCAACTGGGATGTGAGACTTTGTCCCCCTTTTTTCTATTCTTTTCCTTCCCCATCTTTGTTCTCATTCCTATCCCTCTCCTTTTTCCTTTTGTCTGGTAAGAGTCTGGCTTAGTCAGCTAAGACTGTATATTTTGCAACACTTCTGTAAGCCTGTGAGCAGAATGAAGCTGCTAAAAGCAGTGCCCTAACCAGCTTGATGCTGGTATAAGTTTGCCAGTCTCAAAGTTGCTGGTAAGACTGTGTGCTGTGCCTGTGTTTTTTCCGGCTGTGAGGTTGCAAGAATCAATGCCGGAAACAGAAGCTACATTTTCTATCTTTGGTGTTTTTTGGTTTCTCCTCTTTTTGCATTCATCTTGTTTTTTCTTCTAGGAAACAGGATCAGACTTTAATAACAGCAATGACCATTCCAGCCCAACTCTACTAACTTCTTCTCTCTTCCCCAAAAAGGACAGTTACTATCTAAGATACTAAGAGGGATAATCCTTCTAAAATCTCTCTAGCGAAAGGGAAAGGGAACAAGGGATGGTGTTAAAATGAAAGCCTTGTTTAATACTTTACATTTCAATTGCATTATCTGTTTTTCCTTCTTTTCTGTATCTTTAATACATGGTATTAAAAGATTTGTAAAGGTGTTTGCCGTGATACTAAGCAGGCTGAGGTTTCTCTATCCCAAACCTTCTTTAATGTTGGACAATGACAAGGTCCTTAACACCTTTGACCCTTTGGGCCCATATGTTCCATCTAAATTAATACAAGGCCCTGGGCTAGGATTAGGGGTGGGGCCTTTGACTGACTGGAACACAAACCCTGGCCTGGCTAGCCCTAATCACCCCAGCATAGGTTGAGGTTTGCAGCCAGTAGGATTCCCTAGGCTCAGGTTAGGGTTGGGGCCAGCAGAGGGCCCTAGGCTCACGTTACGGTTGGGGCTGGTAGGTCTTGCTAGTCTAAGGCCAGGGGTGGGGACTGTGTGACTCACTGGGCCAGAGTTGGAGCTAGTAGGGCTTGCCGGCCTAGGTTTGGAGCTGGTAGGGCTTGCCAGGCTAGGATTAGAGTTTGGGGCTGGTTGGGCTCTCCGGGATATGGTTAGGGTTTGGATCGGTAGAGCTTTCCAGGCTGGGGTTTGGATTAGAGCCATTAGGATTGGGACTGGAAGAGATCTGTGATCTAGGGTTGTGGCTGGAACAGGGCCCAACCTAGGGTAGGGCTGTGGCCAATGGGGAACCTCTAACCATGGTACGTTTCACCATGCTAGGTGTAGGGTTGGGACCAGTAGGTGTTCGTTTTGGGTTAAGGTCAATAATTGTACCAATGCTACCCTTGGGTGTATTTCATGTAGGAATCTTTGGGTTTGTGTTAGGGTTGGATCCTGTAGGACTTTCAGTCTTGTTTAGAATTTGTGCTGAGATGTGGTCCAGAACTATTATTAGGATTGGTACTGGATTATTGTTAAGTATCACAGTAATTGGGTTCTTGTGCTAATGTCCGTTCAAGACATTATTCATTTTCAGTTTATATTTATAAAAAAAATTTGATTTTTTAAAATAAACAATTTTTATAAATGCTCACCAAATCTTTGCCAAAACCATCAAATTTTAAAATAGAGAAAACTCTTCATGAAAACTTTCACTTTTAAGATGGAATCTTATGACAAAAAATCTTTCATTTAAATCTTTTGACTATTCTAATGTCTCTAGAGACTAGTTGTTAAATTGAGACCAAATTTCCCCTAAGCTCACAATTGAGGAGTCTGTGGACCCAGAAATTTGGTTCAGATCCATCCTTTCCAAAAAACAAAACCTGAAAATAGTTTTAAAAATTGTTTAACTCTGCATTACATGATTTTTTTTCTCCTCTCTAAGCTATGTGCTTCCAGACACCAGTAAGAAGAGTTACCAGAAGACCAGAGTTATTAAAAGAGACTCAAACCCTGTTTTTAATCACACTATTGTGTATGATGGGTTCCACACAGAAGATCTGAAAGATGCCTGTGTTGAGCTGACTGTGTGGGATCATGAAAAACTAACCAATCACTTCCTCGGAGGGATCAGGCTGGGCCTTGGGACAGGTAATTGGATCCTTTTTTGAGTCAGGAGAATTTTTTTTTCTTTAAACTAAATTTTGTTCAATATTGTCGCCACATAGAACATGATGGGGCCTTCCAGGTCTGCTTCATGTTGGAGGAGATGTCAGTGACAAGGAGTGTGGGTGTATTCCAAGTGTAACTTGGATTTACATGCACACACCAGTCCTAGGTCAGAGGCGGTCACAAATGGCATGCTGGCAAACCCTTCTTTCAGGAATCTCAGCCCAAACACCAATATCCCTCCCAATGTTCTCATGGGCTAAAGTGGGCTGGACCTGCCCCCAGAGAGTGGGAGAGTTGCAGAGAGAGCTCATCCTGCACTCACCCTGATGCAGGAACTCCTGTCGTGAGGGGCTGGCTGGGATCCGCTCCGACATTCTGAGCATGTGCCAGGCTCAGACAGGGGCCAGGAAAGGCCCATGGGGAGGCATACATGGTCTCAGAGCAAGGAGCACATTAGAGAGCACAGGAAGAGGAGAAGCAGGTTGCAATGCCTGGAGCAGGGAGTCAAGCCCAGCCAGCCCTGCAAGCCAAGAGCCATTTCAACCAGGACAGGGGGTTTTATAGGTGAAAGCAGGACAGTCTTGCAAAACCTGGGACTGTTGGGAGGTCTGCACAAATACCTGGATCCTAGGAAGCAACTCCACCCCAAGAACTGGCTCTAGTTTGAGAAAGAGAGGAAACGCTCCTTCTGTTTGCAACCGCTCCCCCAAATAAAGTACAGCACTTCTTCATTGACTGAATAGTGCTTACACAAGTCCTTTTTCTTAATGTGCATCAGCACTACCGGGTAACTCCCTCTGAAACAATATATTGAAATTTACAAGACAGACCAATAATGAATACCTTACAATGGTGTTGGACGCATACTGGGTACTCATGGTGCACAGTCAGTTCTGAGATTATGGTAGCTAGAAATAAAGCACAAAATGGAAAAGTATAGTCTGCTGGACATAAATATTAAGTTTATTTTGATCACAGAAGTGCCCACAACCCCCCATTGAGATTGGCACCCCATTTTGCTTGGTGCTGTATAGACATATTAAGAGACAGTCAAAGTTTACAGTCTAAGGTCCCAATTCAGGCAAGCATTTACACATGTGCCCAACTTCAAGTGTGTTATTTCAGCAGGATTATGACCCTTACGGTCAGGGATATGCTGATATATTCTGCCAATGGGGCTCCTAAATAGACCAGATACCCACAGGGTGAGATATAGATGATGTCAGAGTTTCTGTACCAAGATTTCTATATGGATGTCCATTAGAAATTGTGTTGTCTGACACACTGCTTCGATGCCCTTCACTTGGATAGTCATCCTTTGTTGCCTCTTTGCTTCTGTTCCAGTCTTACTTCCCCCCGCTCCTTTTCGGGGGGAGATCTTCACAGAATCTTAGACATGAATGGCTGGAAGGGACCTTGAGAGCCATCAGTCCAGCCTCCTGCTCTGAGGCAGGACCAAGTTGATCTAGACCATCCCTGACAGGTGTTTGTCCAACAGATTCTAAAAAACTTCCAGTGTTGGGGATTCTACAACCTCCCTTGGAAGTGCGTATTAGAGCTTAACTGCCCATACTGTTAGGTTTTTTCCCCCCCTCATATCCAACAAATATCCCTTGTTGCAGATTAAGCCCATTACTTCTTGTCCTCCCTTCAATGGACATGGAGAATAACTGATCACTGTCTTCTGTATAACAGCCCTTCACATGTTTTGAAGACTCTGATCAGGTCACCGCCTCAATCTTCTTTTCTCAAGACTAAATATGCCCAGATGTTTTTAATCTTTCCTCATAGGTCAGGTTTTCTAACCTATTATCATTTTTGTTGCTTTCTTCTGGATTCTGTCCAACCCCCCCATCTTTCCTGAAGTGTGGTGCCCTGAACTGGGCTCTGTACTCCAGCTGAGGCCTTGCCAGTGCCAAGTAGAGTTGCCTGTATCTTACATATGTCACTCCTGTTCATAGGCCCTAGAATGACATGAGCCTTTTTTGCAACTTTGTCACACTGTTGACTCGTATTCAGTTTGTGATCCCCAGATCCTTTTTCAGCAGTACAGCCAGCTAGCAGTTAGTCCCCATTTTTTAATTGTGCATTTGTTTGCAGGGGGTTCCTTCCTAAGTGAAGTATTTTACACTTGTCTCTATTGAATTTATCCTGTTGATTTCAGACAGATTTTTCTAATCTGTCAAGGTCATTTTGAATTCCAATCCTGTTCTCCAAAGTGTGTATGGCTCCTCACAGCTTGGTGTCATCTGCATATTTTATGAGCACACTCTCCCCTCTATTATCCCAGTCCTCCTGCCTTTAATACAAATAGTTGACTTAAACAATGGTGCCTCCTAATGCAGAGATTATAATCAACATTGACACTAAAGAAATGAATTCCATTCTGCTGAAATCTGTTCTATGCCTTTTTCTGATGGTGCTCATTGTGAGTTAGCTTGCAGCATGTCCTACATTTAGGCCTTGGCAGATTGTATTTTTCTACATGAAACTGTCTAAGTGCAACAAGTATAACTCAAATCTAAACTGCATTCATTTATGATTAGACCAGGAAATTGTTACAGGAGGCCTTGCTGAGAGGGAAGAGGCAGAGGAAGTCTCAATGGGTTATAATACAGGATGAACAGTCCCCAGGGGTTGTTTGGAAAACATTTGTAGCAGTTGAAAAGATCTTCCTCTCAGACGTACTTAACAGTGTGGGACTTGCCAGCACACCCTCTGTTTTCTGTCTCTTAACATGTCACCAAGAGAGTTATGAAGTTCCCAACTGTGAAATAGCAGCTCCAAGCAGCTAATAAACGAGATATAAAAATATCACATTCAGGCTTCAGTGTTGCTAATATGATCTGGTTGGCAGTGTTATAGAATATAGGACTGGAAGGGCTCTCAAGAGGCCATCTAGTCCATTTCAACCCCACCCCCATGCTGAGGCAGGACCAAGTATGTTTAGACCATCCCTGACAGTCATATGTCTAACTTTTTTAAAAAACCTCTAGTGACAAGGACTCCACAGTCTCCCTTGATAACCATTCCAGTACTTACCTATCCTTATAGTTAGAACATTATTATTATCTAACCTAAATCTCCCTTGCTGCAGATTAAGCCCATTCCATCATGTCCTACCTTCAGTGGACATGGAGAATAATTGTTCACCATCCTCTTTTATAAACAGCCTGACATATTTGAAGACTATTAATCAGGTCCCCTCTGAGGCTTGTCTCAGGACTAAACATACCAAGCTTTTTTAAACCTTTCCTCAGAGGTCAGGTTCTCTTAACATCTTATCACTTTTATTGCCCTCTCTCCAGTTTGCCCACATCTCTCTCAAAGTATGGCACCAAGAACTGGACACTGTATTCCAGCTAAGGCTTCACATTTACCTCCATTAACCTTTTTTTGCACTTGTATTATGCTTATAAGAAGCTCATGGGATTTTTTTTGGGGGGGTGGGGGTGGGGAGGGGTACACTGCATTTATTGAAGATACAACAATTAGCATATGCATTTAATTACATATACACATACTGTTCTGCTAGTTTGTTATAGTTATTGGTTTAGACTTGTAATCAACCTAGCTGGCCACTATTTTAATCCAGGGTAGGAAGGAGCCAGGTTTTGTAGGTTGCAACATGATGCTTTGGAGAAGTCTTGGCAGGACAAACCCAAAATTTTATGGCAAGGCACTTTGTTCATATAATTTTTAAATTGGGACCAATGAGTTTTGCATTGTTATGCTGTAATAAGTTGGAGTGCTTGGGTTTTTTATTAATTTGTAGGGAGTTATTTTATGCTTGGTTTTTATTGATAGATGCTTGTTTTATTTTTAGAGTTGTTAATTTGCCTTTTTTTAAATGCTTTAATAGGGGCACGTTAGAGCTTTTTGGCACTTTTGAGTTTGTTTTGGGGGGGTTGTATATTATTTATATAAAAACATTTTACACAACATTTTGAACAGGAAAATTAAATTGCAATGCAAAAGAAAATTATGGCTTTAATACTTATTTTAAAATGCTAAACCTACAAATAAATAATCCTCAAAAGTCTAGTACTGCTTTAAAAATCAATCCAGACAAATTCTGGCCAATATATTTTTACCCATTAGGCCATTCCTTTATTATTTAAGGAATAGCTAGCAAAAAATATCAAATCATACACCAGTACATTTAATACATGCTACATTTATTTTAATGTATATTAAATACAAACATAAAATGAAGGACTAGATTACATGCAAGAATTTAATAGAAACCTCTTCTGCAGCTCTTGCTATGATCATGTCCTTGTTCTTTCTAAGGCACTAGCTACGGTATCTCTGTAGACTGGATGGACTCCACGCAGGAGGAAGTGGCCTTTTGGCAGGAAATGATGTCAGCCTCCAATGAATGGATTGAAGGATCACTGCCGCTGCGCTCACTGGCAGGGAGGAGGAAACTGAAATGAAACTTCTGTTGTACAATTAAAAGTATGAGCATATTCATTAGAATTGGGAAGCTCCTCATGAGCAGGGAATGAAGCCCCTCCCCTACCTGCACAGGTGTCTGGTTAATTAGATAATGATTGCATTGTGCTTTAAAGATGGCAGGTGCTAAGTGGTGTTAATCTCCCAGTAGAGGACTTAAAAGATGCTAAACTGATGCTATGCTTGATTTTAGCAAAAAGCCAAGAAAACACATTGGTTACTTTTGTTAATCATTTATATACTCTTAGATTTCATTAGAGTCTCAGTACATTGGCAGGGAAGAAGTGTAAATATTTTTTTTTAATACAGGGTTTATTTTGTTACTGGATTTTTTGCTGTTTTTCTGTGCAGTGAGACAGTTGTAATAAAGCTGCAGCTTAGCATTATCCATATTCCCTTTCAAGTGGTACGCTTCATACTGGATGCAGCATTGAAAGCATCTCAAAATGGGACTTTGCCATCTGTCACTGATAATGTGACTATGACTCAGGGGGAAAAACAAAAAAACACACACTTTAGATTGCTTTGAGATCCAAGGTGAACCTGCAGAAAGAGGACTGTTTGGAGCAGACAACGTAGCAACATGACTAAGATATCCAAGAAGAATTCAACAAATTTAATTCCATACTACTTTTATTTGGAAGTGAAGAATGATGGTCTTGCAGCTAATGTACCAGCCCAGAACTCAGTAGATAAAGGTTCTATTCCCAACCTTGCCACAAACTTCCTCTGTGACCTTGGGCAAGTCACTTACTTAAAGTGAAACTGCAGTGGAATATAAATTAGGTTGCACTCAGCCAAATACAAAATATGATTAAATCACTGCTGGGCCAAATCAGTTCTTTCAAATGCCTTGTGTATATAAAACATTAAGTATGAAATTATATGTAGCAAGCAGTCTGTGTGTCAGCCTGATGTGTATTGAGAGGTCAAAACTGCAGCCACAAAACGAGGAAAGGAGAGAGATTTTTGGAACTGATGGGAAAGGTAAGTATTCCATGACCTTACTTTGGTTCAGTATGTACAAACAAGTTACATAGTAAAAAGAGCTGGCGAAATCTCCCACTGCTCCTTGTACCTCTGGCTACTACTTTGATCTTCCTTTCTCTCAACTGATTTCAACAAGTTGTGATCTATGTTGGAGTTATCATTAAATAGTAGCTTTTGGGGATTTTGCATCTATCCAGTGCACATCAGTAGAGATTTTGCAACCATTTTAAATGCAGCTTTGTAATTTCCTCTTTAAATGTACATGTTCTGATTAAATAGAATGATTTCCCTCAGATACCAAATGATCTCCTTATACCTATCATTAGCATGGTCTGAGTAGCCATCTATACATAGATATCCTGTAAGTTAGAGGCAATGCCGCACTAAAAAGAATCCTACTTGCCTAGTCTAGAGTGGTTACTCTTGACGAAATTTCTTCTCTAGATATCTGACCTTTAAAAGCAATTTGCAAGGCTGAGTAGAGCTTGTTGAGAAATGTGGGGGGAATCATGAAAACATTTGATGTTTGTTTTCCTTTTTGAAGAGTTCAAAAAGGATTTTTTTTTTTGGTTTTTGTGGCTCTTAATTTCCTTTTTTAAATTTGTTTACCAAAACACCTGTCTTAGATTACCACAGACGGTCAGCTTACCAAAAAAAAGTGTAAGTGATAGACACTTTTTCACAAACCCTGAAAAGTTAAGTTGATGTTGGTAGCTTTCATTAAAAAATTCATTTTAGTAAAACAATCATTTTTTGACCAGTGTTAGAAAAATGTTGGCCAACTGTAGTGTTGAAGCACTAAGAAATAGCCCATAGGAAAACAAGATCAAATGGAGATACACATTGTCTGAGTCCCAATCTGGTTCACTTCGCTCACACAAATTATCCCATTGACCGTCTCTGAAGTGTGAGACAAAGGAGCTAGATTGGCCCCATAGTGGCATTTGCTTAATTTAAAATCTTAAGGCTACTAAAGTTGTTGGTTTCAATGAAGTTTTGAGACTTGATTCAGATACTTTTACATGGAGTAAAGCATTACTCCATGGATAGTGCCATCAAAGTTGAGATGATTACTCCTTGGCTAAGGTGCTACTAAACCTGAGGACGGGTATGAAAATCTGGCCTATAACATACTGATGTTCTGCTTACATAGGAGCAGTTTCTGATGCTCTTACTATTTGAATAGTACCTTACTCTGAGTCCCAGTCAGTGGGACTACTATCTGTGGAGTGAAGTGCTATTTATTGTGAATAATGGGTATCAACATTTTGGGCCATAATGCAAATGCATATCTATTTTTTCCTTTCAGTGATTTACAGTGTCTGTACATTTGTGGTGAATGTGCCAAAACTGCTGTTTACACACACAAAAAGTAATTTGAAAAGTTCAAGTATTTATTTCATATTAGCATTAGCGCCACACCTAAGATTCAAAGTTATTTCCTAATATGGTGCCAACAAAGTTAAATAATCATCGTTACAGGGCCAAGTTCATCCCTGGTGTCGAAGTTTGGCCCAAGGTATTGTGATCTGGATATTTTTGTTTTAAGGTTGCATTGGTTTTTGGTGGGTTTTTTTGGTAAATTAAGCCCTGATTAATTTCAGAAGCTTTTAGTATTTATTAGTGCATCAGAGTAAAAGATTACACTGCCAAGCATAATAAAGTGGTAGCATAGTCACGTGTTATGTAGGAGGTCATATCTGCTTCACTTAACAGAAAAAGCACTTTATCTGCAAAAATGCAAGGCACTTTGTCACATGTCAGTGTCATACATAGGAGTGGAGGAACCTGTAGCAAATAAAGTTAATGGCCTTTGGTATGTGTCTTACATTGACATTTGTAGTCTGTGAATGCTACCTGCAAGAGGTAAAAGTATCTAAATGTTATAGGCTGCTATAGCACAGGTCCATGTTAACATGTGCTGCAGATTAATTTGGAAATAACATACCAAAAGGATTCTATTGTATATATTATTTTTGTATGATGGACTAAACAAACTCCCTTCACGAGACAGGGCTTTTCCTATATATAGTAAATATATTTAGGTCCATAACTCCCCTGGATATAAACATGCAACTTTGTTGAAGTCAGGTATGTCTTGGAGGGGAGGGACAGCTTAGTGGTTTGAGCATTGGCCTGCTAAACCCAGGGTTGTGAGTTCAATCCTTGAGGGGGCCATTTAGGGATCTGGGGCAAAAATTGCGGATTGGTCCTGCGGGTTGGACTAGATGACCTCCTGAGGTCCCTTCCAACTCTGATAGTTTATGATTCTATGTCTTTGTATGCAGCTGAAACCAAAATTGTTGTCCTTAGGGCTAGATCCTGCAGCCACCAATTACTGGTGGGACACAAGTAATCCTATTGTCCGGAGTAGGCCTACCTGGGTTACAGGATCTGGCCTTTTTTTAAATGGAAAAAGTTAGTGTGAGCAGAGCTGGGCAAATTCTGCAGGGAAAAGCTTCCCATGACCATTCTTCTGCACTCATGAGTGCATGTGCTTTCCTTGTGCTCATGCCCCTTTCATATCTGCTTTTTGCAGATATCTTGCGAGTGAATTTACAAGCAGGAGTGTTTTGCTCAAATAGCAAATTTCTAATTCACCAGTAGCAGGATGTGTATAAGAAGCCAGCTTATAAGAAGCTCTGCTCCTCCAGTCAGGAAACAGAAGCATACCATGTGACCTGTGTCTAATCAGACCTGCTCAGATTGTTAACCAACTACTTGGAACAAACAGCTCATGAACAATCTTTGGACAAATTATTCACCAAATTAACGTTGGTAATCTTGAAGAGTATCCAGGGTTCACTGTCTGTACTTGGAAAAGTCAACGTTGGTGAAGTAAAGTATCTGTTACAAAGTGTTTGTCCAGCTCTACTCTTGACCAAGACAGAGAGAAAAGCAAAACTGATCTTATTGTGAAACTCATAAGCTGCAGAGAGAAATATTAGTAGACCCCCCTACCCCCCGTCACGGGACGCAGACTCACCGGCAGCACCTCCTGCTGGTCATCTGAGGAAATTAGCTCACCAGCCTCCAGAGTGCCCTCTTCAGGCTGGTGTCTCCCCTTGCTGCTGGCTCCTGTGTCCCTCCCAGAACCCCAGTGCCCCTTTCACTGGGTGCTGCCTCCTGACAGTACCCCACAGTTCTGGGTCTCCCCCTCCCAGGGGAACCCCCCCACTCACTATCCCTACCTCACATCAGTCATAGGCTCCTGCCAGTCACCAGATAGCCCCTGTGCCCTGGGGCATACTGCAGTATGAGCCACTCATCACAGGCAAGGTTGGGTTTGGACCCACTGCCTCTGCCTACCCGTGGCTGACCCGCAACCCCCAAACCTAATAGGCCTTCCCAGGCCTGCAGCCTGGGGCTTTCCTAGGCCACAGCTCTATAGCTCCCTTGGCCTTTCCCCAGCCCTGCTCCTAACTAGGTCCTCTATTCCACTCTCTACAGCCAGGTCCCTCCCTCTCAGAGCAAGAGAGAGAGTGTTCTTCTGTTCCTGGCTTCCCTGGCTTTTATAAGGCCTGCTGGGTCTGTTTGGGGCGTGGCCCGCAGCTGCGGCTGCTCGGCCAATCAGCCCAGCTCTTCCCCTGCCCCAGCCCTCTCCCAGGGCTATCTTAAACCCCTCTGGGCCCAAGCGGGTGTCCACCCAACAACATAAATCTATGTAATAAGATGTTCTTAAAGAAGAAATACTGTATTTTGTGAGCTGGTTAAATAAACCAAAAGGAATTTGTAAAACTGACCTGTGTGTAAGAAACAAAATCAATAAACCACACTTCAGTTTCTGATAAGTGTATATTCAGTGTAATTGTTCTTAGGGCTTGGCTACACTTGCGAGTTACAGCGCAATAAAGGAGCCCCGGGTGCACTAGCTCACTCCCAGTCCACACTGGCAAGGTACGTAGAGCACTCTGACTCCGCGACTACAGCGCTGCTGGTACTCCACTTCGGCGAGTGGAATAACGTTCGCTGTGTCCCAGCTGGAGCGCCGCAGCGCTGGTGTGAACGAGGTGGTGCTTTACTGCGCTCTGATCAGCCTCCGGAAACATCCCATAATCCCCTCAAGTCAAGTGGCCACTCTTGTCATTGTTGTGAAATTGGCTACAGGAATGCGAAAATGCCCTTTCAAAGCTCAGTTTTGGAGAAGCCGGCTGCTTATCAGCTCCAAGAAAAAGCAAACATTTACTGTTCGCTTTGAGTGAATGGGGGGAGAAAGGGGGTCTGAACTTACAAGACAGCATGCTGACACACACTCAGCACCCCAAAAACCCACTCTCTCTCCCCCCACATACACACAACACACTCTCTGTCACACTCCACCCCCCATTTGAAAAGCACATTGCAGTCACTTGCATGCTGGGATAGCTGCCCATAATGCAGCCCTCCCAACACCGCTGCAAGTGCCGCAAATGTGGCCGCCCTAGTGTGCTGTCAGCTGTCAGTGTGGCCAAACTGCAGTGCTTTCCCTACTGCGCGCTCCGAAGGTGGGTTTATCACACAGCGCTCTACATCTGCAAGTGTAGCCACACCCTTAGTTACTAACTTCTCCCCTATTTATTTACATTTTGGTATCTTAGTCATGTTTGGTTTTCCTGCCAATGTTCAGATGCAGGGTTCTAACAGTGAGCCTGATTCTGGATCTTATGGCAAGTAGCTCCACTGACGTTTATACCAGCATAAAAGTGGTGTGAGATCAGGCCCAACACGTGAACGATTCCTGCTTCAAAAGTACCAAGAAGGCAAAATCCTACTGAATGTTGGAACCATTTCTGAAATGGAGATTGCATCTAGATGTGGTCTGGGCTCCTGCATGATGTGCTCTTATATGTCTAGAAAGCATCAGGCCTCAGGGCCCTTGCATGATGAAATTCATCCTAAGATACTTAAGGAATTAACTGAAGCAATCTTGGCACCATTAGCAATTATCTTTGAGAACTCTTGGGGAGTGCCAGAGGATTGGAGAAGGGCAAACAACGTACTTACCTTTAAAAAGGGGAACAAAGAGAACCCAGGAAATCATAGACCAGTAAGCCTAACTTCAATACCAGGAAAAGATACTAGAGCAAATTATTGAACAACCAATTCCTAAGCACCTAGAGGATAATAAGGTTATAAGGACTAGCCAGCATGCCTTGATCAAAACCAAACCATGCTAAACCAACCTAATTTCCCTTTTTGACAAGGCTACTCGCTTAGTGGATGGGGAAAAGGAGTAGATGTAATAATCTTGATTTTTAGTAAGGTTTTGATACAGTCCCACATGCCATTCCCCTAAGCAAACAAGGGAAATGTG